CTATTCTGTCTGGAATGAACAATGATGAAGGGGTTTTGAATGCTTTACTGAAGAATTTATGTTGGAGCTCGAGGAAGGGGGGAGTCCCCTACTTTAATCATGAAGGAGCTCTTCGCAAGTGCCACCTTGTTAAATAAGGAGCGAACGCGAGACCAGAATCAGCAAGTCGGTGCTAAGTAGAATTTAATTTTTTTTGTCTTGTCACGAGCGTGAGACAAAGAAAAAAATTGTGTCGCCATGAAGAATCGAACCTCAGACCTTCGGATTCCGCGCTCCGATCACTGAGCCACAGAGAACTCGATGGTGAGCGAGGCCCATTAAGGAGTTCATATATATTGTTTGCCCGCATTTTGCTTTCATTAGGAAACGTGAGCTTATCTTTTCTTGCTGTTAGGAACCATTCGTTATTTACAGCCTGGGATGAGAGGAAAAAAAAATTTTTTTTGGGGGGGGGGTCACATGGTTTTCAGAGGGAACGGGGGGAGGGACAAAATATAAAGGGGGACTGAGAAAATTGACTTCCTCTCTCCCTCCCTCCCCCTCTTCAGGTAATAAATATTGAGCAGTTACTCGTGTGATATTTTTTTATCAAATTGAGTTCAACACTGGCGAGGATGGGGACTTTGTATACTGAGTCCTTCAAACTGATAGATATAGATTTGTTACTCTTTTCTGTGAGTTAAGCAAAAGATTTTCACCACTTGAGGCACGATGAGTGGTTCTACAGTTATCTTTTGGTAGTTTATGACGCAAAGGACATCATTCTGTAGTCTACACTAAAACAATAGATGGCGACAGTGAAGATGCCCTCTTATTGGCTACCCAAACTCCGAAGATCCTTTGCTATTCATCTCGCGTGGGATTTGCGCCCGAAAATATTGTAATCGTTGCAGGACTAAATGAGTTGAAATTATCTTTTTGTCTCACAATTTTAGAATACACTAAAACAACTATTCACCAAAGTGGTGGTGGCTAGCGGTAGATATTTACCCCAAAGCTTCGCGGCTCGGGGAATATCCGTTATTAGCTACCCTACTTCGGTGAACACTTGTTACAGACAATTACAGACAACTTGGATCGCTTTGCACATATTCTTTTGCTTTTGTCAGTATTTTTTCCTTTCCAAACAACAGAGAAACAAGAATAAAAACTATTGATGCCAAAATGTGTGCAGGAAATTGCCAGGTTTTGCGACGGCAATCCTCTTTTTCACCTCCGCTGACGTCAGTAGATCCGTACACAAACCCTAAACTGTGATAGGAAATCTCAAGATAATTGTTGAGCAACCTAAAGCCATACAACAATAGGAGTAAAGGAAATAATTTACAGATTTGCAGACCAGGAAATCAATCAGTTTTTAGAATCATTCGTTTTTAGAGTCTCGCCTAATTTTTAAAAATCGATCTCGATCTTCTAATTAGGCTGGGTTTGAACAGACAGGTATCAAGCTAAACAGGGCAAAATTTAAAAGTTCTGTGCCGTGCTACTTTAACATTATTTCATATATGTATGTATTTTTTAATGCAATCTGCCCGGCTGGCACTAGATAAAACAGCGCTTGATTTGAGAAAAACACCTGCAGTCTTTTTTATCCTCGCCGCTTGACGAAACGACAACAATGTCTGGATGAAAAATCACTCCGAAGAATGACATGCAGGTAATCCTAAGCAGCCTTCCTTGGGCGAATTTTCTTAATCTTTGTCAAGGCATAAACCTTGCGCGATGAATCAAGTTTTTAATTATAGTACTAAAGTCACACCTGGCTATGATTGGTCACTTCTTTTCCTCGATGACGTCACATGCCCTATGAATGGGTTCAGTTATCAATCATTTTCACTTACACCGTAGCTGCTAATACTACTACTCGAAGCACACTTCTCTTGGCTGTAAGTTCATCTTTGGATACCCTGAACCAACACTTCCACGAGACACCAACACGTTCCCATAAAAAGCTACGAAACTGTGTTTGCTTTACCGAAAGAAAATCTAACCATAAGGTACGATTTTATGATCCATTGTTTTTAAGATGAGTGTATATATATTATATGATTTATTCTGAACATATCTACCGAGTGTTCGAGCGCCTCGGAGTAAAATTAATCGGTGAATCGGTGAAATTTTCTTATTCAAAGCATTGATCGCTAGAAACAGGATTTACGTCGTTCGATCAGGTGATGAGAAGGTAAATATGAGATTTTCGAGAAGAGAAATCTAAGTTAAATGACGCTCTCTCTCTCTCTCTTGCTTAGCAATCAGTTTGCTGTATATGCTAATTTCTTTCGTAACGTAATAACCTTTCGTTTTTGATATGCACGTTCTTGTCTGTACGCCTCCCTCGTCGCTTGGGGTTAGATTTTCATAACCCGACTAATCGTCATATAATTTATCTGCAGAGTCACTGCGTGATCAGTTCATGTTGAAATTTAACCGTCCGATAATTTTTTCCGGCGAAAAAGTTTTGTTTCTAACTGACGAACATTGCCGTTTCGAGCGTAGTGACGTCATGGCGTTTTTCATCTCCGCAGCTGTCTATTGCGAACCTGCGCGGAAAATTTTATAATTATTTATCGTGTAAAGGAAATCGAATATGCTAGTTTTCAAATCACGTACAGAAAAAGGATGCATATCTATTCTTGTGAGTAAGCTTTATGAAAGAAAATTCGTGGTTAAAATATTTATGTTAGTTTTATCTCCCCGTCAAGTATAAAATCTTCGCGGCCAAAGGAGCTTATTGTTGAGCCGACCAGATTCGCTTACGTTTAAGATTACTTTTCTTTCTGCGACCTTTTCATCTATAGGGGAAGTACTTTCAGTCAGGAATGATTAAAACTGATTTTGAAAGCTTGAGAAAGTATCAAAAACGCTACATCTGTTTAAAAATTCGAGCAAAAAATTTTGCACCAAATAAAAGGATACACTTATGTGCTGCATATTTATGAAATAAAACATTAGTTTAGATAATAGCTGTAAAACATATCCCTTTATCAGTGAAATTAACATCATTTGTATTTAAGCAAAGCGAAATGTCAAAATTAAAAGATTTCTCTTTCCCTAAAAAAATGAAACACATCTAGATTAAAAAAATCAAAGCTAACTCCTAATTTAACAAGGTTAGATTGAATAAAAAAAATCTATTTCAATTTCCTTTCATTTTTTTAACTTATTTATCGAAAACCTCTGACGATTATTTTTATAACGCTGAAACTCAAACAATTACAGAAGACTTTCACAACAAGAAATGACTCAGCCAATAAAGAACTTCTTAAAATTATTGCTTAAATTGTTTCAATAACATCTTCTGTTTTATTTTCTTTCTCTTTAACTTAATCTTAGCGTTCAGTCCTCATTTTTAAATGCATATACCCTACAAGGATATGTTTCTAATCCCAAAAAAAACGAGTCAATACTTGAATAAATTGGCAAATATTCCAGTGGCAGTTTTTGTTTCAGCACATCAGTGTATGAAATGTTATTTTTATTTTTTACTTTTAATTTTCGAGACTAGTTGCCCATGCAGTCTGGGGTGGTTCAAAAGACTCCGTCTGACTCCGTCTGGCGTCACTCCCATTGAAGCTGTTATTTTTAATTCATTAATGCCGCGTGTACAATTTCAAAATAGACCAAAATAGTTACACTTGTCAGACAGGATCCACCAATGTGTGGAGCGTTATTCTCCGTATTTTATCCCCAGATATCTGAGAATGTAGAAATTGAAATATAATTTATCCAGGACGAGGAAGAGGACGTTTTTTGCTCAAATTCGGAACTGTATTGTGTCTTAAGGGCTATACCGCCTAAAGCGCTTTTCTATTGAGTTATCATGTCAGCCAATCGGAAGAAAGAGCAGGGGCAGCGTGTCGGGGAGTCAATAAGAACTTCAGGTAAGTGCACCTGAACTGCTTAAAGCGCGGGAAAACGCGGATGACCAAGAAGCTCATTGTTATAATCTCCATATGACACACAAACTTTTTTACGTTCAAAGACTTCCCCAGACAGTTATGATAATTCTTCACTTTATTTTTTCTACATTGGGCTTAAATCCCATATGCGAATCTAATTGCTAATACCGCGCTCGTAACCAGTCCAGTTTTTTACAATACGGACCACGCTTCAGAATTTTTTCCGCGCCATTCGCGGCAAAGTGGAAAAAAAGCAAATGAGCGGAAAAAAATAGATATGTTATATGCTGGTCTAAGTCCATTCGAAAAGGAAAAAACTGTGCCCTTGGTCTTGAGTATGGCCCTCGGCCTTGCTTGCCTTTTTGCGACTCGTGGGAGTAGAAGTTCCCTCCTTATATAGTTCTGGCAACAACACAGATTGGCAACGGTCACTAATATTTCTTTGACGAGACATTTTATACGTCAAAACGGTTACAATGACAACATCCATCGGAGCCTATAGGACCCATGTAAATGTATTCGTTATGAAAGGCTATGAGACCCGTACGTCAGTCCTACTTACTAGAACTAGAATGCAGCCACATTCCTAAGTGGGAGGCTGATAGGCTCGAGCATAGACTTAACATATTTATGACATACTACCCGATTCCTCTCACTAATTTACAGGATAACATACAGTAGTTAGGAGGAAGTATTAAGGGACTTCCTCTCGCGTTGCCCATGAGACAGCTATGTCACAGATATTAGTATTTAACGGGACTGTATCTTCACCAAGAAGATCTTACTACTGCTTTTTCCGAGTCAAAACTATAAACAAGGTAATAATCCTTTACTGGAAAAAATTACAGTAAAAAAAAAGGTAATAATGATCTGTGAGCATCTTAAATTGCATTTGAATAAATTCAGTCCCACTCGCTCGCACAGTAGAGAACCGTAAAAATCGTTGCTCTCTTTGATAACACTGGAAAAGTTCATAATAGGACTATGCTTCAGTCAACTTTGACTTACCCAAAGCGGAATCTCTCCAAAGACACGCACAAGGAAACACCTTCATCCTGACCACCTGTCCTAGTGATCCAAGGGACTTGTTTGTTGTCAGCTTTTTCAAATTCCAAAACAATTCACTTGCCTCCTAGGAACGCGTACGAAGGTTATAAAAAGTACTTTGAACTTTCAAGTTCTTAAGTGATTGAAAATGAAAGTACTCTCAACAAAAGAAAATTAAACGATTGAACAATAGAATGACAATGAACTTGAAACACGGAACGTTTTAGCGGCCGAATCCTGGCTTCTCGAGTGTATTCACTGGAAGCCTTTTTAATCTTATCCCTAGAAAGTTCTTTACCCGCCCGCAATTTTTTGCCTTTATCTCCTCACAAGTCCTCTTTAGTCCCAACTTTTTGTGCCACTTTTATGATAGATATAGAATGTTTGGTCCTGGATTGCCTAAAGTATGAAACCCGACTCGACCGCGCGCGAGAGAGAAACATTCCCAAGGGATTGAGGTACTCGGGTCAGTTCTTGCTGATTCTGCGCCGCTGGCCTCTTACAACCTCTGTCCCATTGAGTCTATTCTGAACTTAGTTACTTTTGGTCAACAGTAACAACTTTTTAACCGTGAATCTTCCAATTTTTAAATCCCTAATTGCTAGAATTTTTTTTGACGAGCAAAATCTCGCAAATGTGCGACGCTATTCTATTAACTCTACTGAAAATGTAACCTCATTTTAATCAATCCAGTCGTGAACACGCGATCCAAACCAGTGGCACTGCCTATTCCTAAGAAGTAGCAGACAATCTTACACGCGAAAACCACCAATCTCTACACCCTTCATTACTTAGAACTGCCATGCGTAATCGTGTCACTACGGGAGAATTGTCACTCTCGACAGAACGCAGAGGTACTTATTTGCTGTTCATCGAATCAGGTTCTCTCTTGTGACTGTTTCTTCGGTCTTTCTTTGCATATACTCTCTTACCAGGCGTGAAAACCTGGCAGATTCTAACTAGTATTAAATATCTTAAAGTCACGCACACGATAAAATATTAAGCTGACACTCTTCGGTTACTAATTTTCAATCCATACCGATCCTCGATCTTTATTCTTAACCATCTTCGTTCGCTCTTGATTTATTTGTCTGCCCCTAATGATTTCTTTCTTCCTTTGTTAATTTTATTTCACTTCTTCCACACAGTGAAGGTAATTTTCTCGTCTAAGAAAACGACTGGAATGACCGCGATGTATTAACTCCGAGGGTGGCTTTGTCAGAGCGAATTGTTATTACTAATATTTGAAAGCAATTTTGATATTCATAGCACGTTGCATGGTTGTGCAACGCTAAATTTACCATTGTTCTAGGCATTTGTCTCAGAGAGACATCTTGTACAAGACGCTTATTACTAAAATTGCAATTTTTTAAGGGTTCATGACCCCGAAAAGTGTGTTGTATTTCTCGGCACGCACCCCTACTAGCTGATCTTGGGGAATATTCCCCCCCAATCCTCTCCACTTTTACAGACGTCTTAGAAACCCTCATCTGACTGTTCCATTTACGCAAAACTCCGGCACTTGCTTTCTTCGCGAAAAGGACGGCAATTTTTCATTGTCTCCAGCTTTTCAATCACCAATCCAATTTCGTGTCGCATACGTGCTAGTGCTTTGTCTTTTTTTTTTTTTTGTTCGTTTTTTTTTTGCAGTTTTCGTGCTTAATTCGTGATCAACACAGCACGCAGTTCTCAGACGGACGCAATGTCGTCATACTGTTTGGTCTTTAAGCGTGTCGGCATGATATAGTGATCAATGTTCTACATGCATGTATGCTTTTAAAATGCAAATACTTAAGCCATATCTACCCATGCTGTGGTCCAGCTTTTCATTGTCTAAACCCACGTGCTTAAATGCTGTGTTATCATTATAATTTACTCTTTGGTCGATAAACGATGTCGTTGCAGCTTATTGTATATCTCTTTCAGTCAAATCTTTCCATCAAATCCCTCCCCTTAACAAGTGTGGCTTTTACCCCTGAGAGCTTTAAAAAGCTTAAAAGTACACATTTTTTATAGAATTCGGAATCTTGGCATTGATGTGTGCAGATAGGGCGGACAGAATCACCTTAATCCGAAATGCAATGACAAGCTTTCAGATTTCAGTGTTAAGAGCCGCTAGGATAACAAGCTATAGAAAAGTCCTTGACATGTTGTAGAAAGAAACAATAGCCATCACCTTTGTCAGGAAAATTATCAGGTTTCTTATTAAAAACGCGAGAAGAATAGTACAAATTCATTTTGGGTAGAAATTACAATTCTACCTTGATTGCCTTGAAAGGATATTGGAATCGACCTCGTTAATAGTCTTTTCTTAAAAAAAAAAAAAACAAAAAAAAAACACGCACACACATTCGCGTAAACAAAAACACTTTTTCAGCTTGTTTTTCTTCCATCCCGTTCGCCTTTCGGCGTTCAATATCACTTTAATCAATAGCATAAATTTTCGGGCCCAATCCCAGTTTAGTTGAGATAGTCAAACCCCTCGTTTTCAACCCTTCTATAATGATAGCGAACTTGCATTTCCCAAGGTAAATAATCTCCTGGACAGACGACGAAGCTTTCTTTTCACAAAATTAGTAACCTTTTAACGCTTAAAAGCGGGTGTCAGATACCACGGATTGCTTCCCTCGATAGATGCAAATATTCCTCTTAAAACATGTATTAGTTCAATTTTCCTTTCACTTGTCATAATAAATTTTAATTGTAAATTTGGGGGTTTTTATTCGCCTTTATCCGACACACTCCCTGAACGAATTATACCACATCGCGTTCTTACTTTACTTGATAAACAAACCAACATGATTAAAATTCAGTTTGTTCTGTATCGAGTGATAAAAATGTGGAAAAAAAAGGCCAATCTTAGCCACTAAGCCGTAAGCAATCATTTTTCACTTTGTCTGCAGTTATCAACGTTATATATTGATCTATATTTCACAATTTGTACTCCTTTATATTATTGTTTGAGAATTTACAGCGCTCAGATATTTCTCACTCATGGACAAACAGGAAGAACAGCTAACTTAGTTTCTCTTTAATTAATACTAGTAGCAAATAAAATCCTTTAAAGAGCGTACACCACGTTGCGAAAGTGGAAAGTGTAACAATATAAATATTCCTCTAGAACCTATTGTGAAGCCAGCTGTACACAAACTGGTTCTTCATAGTTGCGTGGCAAGCACTTTGCTCTTGAAGTTGCGTAAAATTCAAGCTGTGATGGTTTCATCTCAAATTTCACGATAAGAATCGAGAAAATGGTCTTAGTTGTGTTTACCTTTCACTGTCCATTGGAGATCGAAGTTGGAATAATTCATGAGAAAAATATGATTTGTCTCCGGCGGAGGAAACTGAATTTCCTCTCGCGAAGTAAATGACCGAAGCAAGCGTTAAAAACCTTGAAATAAGCGTAGAAATACACGGAAGGGTTTTAAAAATGTTCTGTTCTCGCGCAAGCCATCCACAAATTAAAAAAAATTCCTATTTCAAGTTTCTAAAAAAACAAAATATCTGAAAGGTGGAAAGCTTTTGAAGGCTCGACTTTCTGTTTGTATTAATCAATTTATGATCACAAAATACACACGGAAGATATCATTCAATTTCGCCGATTTCCAAGACTACATCGAGTGATGCTTGTTCCACTTTGACTGAAGCAGCAGTTATGAATGGTCGAGTGACATTGTTGTCATTAAGGAAACTACTATAGACCGCAAATGAACTGGGAGAAATTCCAATTTCATCAACAATGTACAAAATGTGTTTTTTAAGCGCGTCATATTACGAAATAGTCGACGAATGGCAACCAAAGCATAACATATTGCGATCGAATAACAGGGAAGGCAATTTCTTTCTTGAAGAAATTTTTTCCTCTAAACTCTACATTGAAAAAAGTCAGTTTCGAACCGTGGCGCTAATTTTGGGTTGTATTTCTCATCAAGAGCATCAATTATAAATGACATAAACTCCGCGGGATGGGTAAACAACATGATTCGTATTTTACCACGAACATAAATCTATTTTATTGACCGGTTCTGAAAGCAATTTTGGATCGATTTGAAAAGAATGGAGAATGAGAGAGGTCTTAACGCGTGATTTACGGGCAGATACTGCTCAAAATAGTATGTCACTGAATGAGCTGAATAATGAGAAATAAATTAAACGATCACCTCTCCGATACGAATTTTTCAATAGTCTCTAGAGGCCAGAGGCAATTTGCCACCAACTGTGCTATGGAACAAGGATTTGCTGGATACAAATAATTCTGAAACTTAGGAAAGCAGTTTCCACTTTTTCCAAACGAAGTTTCAATAGAAAACAACATTTTTCGCACAATTACCTCGTGCTAAATTAAGCCAATCAGAATCAAGGAAACCATTAGACAGCTGGTGTTGACGTTTTCCGCGGGAAAATCAGCCTAGCGTAAAATCTAGCGTGACAGGCTATACGATGTAAATTTCACTTTACCTTCGCTTCAAGCAAACAGAAAACGAATTTTTTTTTGAAAAGCAAGGAATTTTTATTCTTATCAGGAACGAACCGAATTAACACGGTTAAGAGTGCTTAAGTGGAGCCTGTTTTAAGGAAATCATATAAACTTAATGAGCTTTTGCATATTTTAATGGTCATATATTTTCTTTTAAACTTTTGTGTCAATTTGACACGAATAAAAGTGATATCTGACAAGAATTGAACGCCTGCTTTTTGAAGAAAAATGTTGGCGAGAGGGTTAGTTAGTTTGTTTAGAGTGTGGCGTTTGTGGCTAGAGTCAGTTTAGGCTTATTATTAAACAGGTTGCTTGTTGATATTTAGGGGCATTTCATTGATGAATAGAAAATATATGGGCGTACGGCGCTTCAAAACCGCAATATTTAAACGAACACGTGTTTTTCGCACACATTTCATTCTTAACTAGTTCTTCATCCCTACGGGCTGAATTTATTTTTCTTAATCAGAGGGCGTCCTCCATCGGAACAACCTGAATAAGTAGGCTTAACCGTTTTGGAAAATCTTGTTTCTAATTCGAGGGCAAACCAAAATTTTATTTTGTTTTCGATAAACTGGAAACAAGCTTAGCGTGGCTCGGCCATTGTGTCGCTTCAAAATGCATCATTGGTCGCAAGTGAAATTCTCCCAACAGGCGTCTTGTCAAATAACGCCTATCAGCCAATGAGCGCGCAGCTAATTTGCATCGATGTAATTAGAATGCTTACTCCACCACAACTGGTGTTGTTGGTGGGTAGTGTGGGAACGGATAGTCGGACACGATTCTATCGGTAACTTTTCACCGTTAAAACTAGATTGGAGAAGCCAAAGCGAAACGATGAAATAAATACTACATCTGATTTCTCTCTGTAGGTTTTTCGGGACACAATGGCTTCACAGCCGTCCCAGAGACCGCGTCGAAATGCTTCGCCTGCATCGAGCTCCAAACTACAACCTATGCGGGCTACCTTACCATTTTCGCTGATATCTCCCAGCAATCCGAGTTCTACTCGCGGAAATGGACTACGAAGACCAAGTCCATCTTCTTCACCGGTTCATGGGAGTGAAAATGCCCTCAAACATCGAAGAAGTTCTCCTGAAACACGTGGGTCTCCTGAGCATCGTCGTAGTCCTTCTTCACCATCTTTATCTAGCTCGAAAGGTTAGCTGACGTGCTCTTTTAAGTAACCTTTAAAACGGGCTCTGAAACTTAGGATAGTCACTATTTATGACTGAAAAAGCTTTACTGTGCCAGCTGTCAATTATATATTCATTCTTTTCGTTTAAGTTCAGTGTGGTAAGTCAGCGAATTTCGCTTTTCATGTAGATGTATCGGTTCTTCTCTCTCTCCGTTCAGTGTATTGACTTACACTGAAAGCCATTTCCGTTGTTTCATAACAGTTTGGACTAAGCTTACTGACACTGAAATTATTTTCTGTGCAGGTGAGAGAGGAAAATTGTCGAAAAGCAGTTCGGGCTCCATAAGAAGAACGCCATCCATAGACGCCATTTCGCCTTACATGAGTGGACAGTGGCCGAAAGACGTTGGAAGTTACGGTCCGAGTGTGTGCCATAAATCAACTCAGGTTAGTTAGCTACCGCTCATTTAATAATACATTTCTTAAAAACTGGCCAAGTTGTAGGCCAATTACACGTATTTGGACTTGGAAAGGTCGTTATATGTACGCATGGAACGGGGTAAGCTAAGCAAATTTGCTTTGCCGACACACTTACCAAACCACAGCCATGACAACGACATTGATTCCCAAGCAACTTTGAAATTTGATGATCTGAGCTGTAAATTAAGTTTGCCTTAACCGTTGTAATAAAGTCAGCTTCACAAATGATATTGTAGAATTTTGCAAATCAAACTTCGAGGTAGCAAAGAAATAAAAATATCGCTGAATATTTTGGCGTGGAGGGAAGGACTTTGAGTTTGATTGAGGGGTCAAAGAATCACTTCTCAAAAAGTTATTTTTAACCTGTAGATTAGAGCCAGAGTTCTTGATTCTGTTTTGATTATTTTAAAATTACAAGGAGAATTGAATTAAGCAAGGAAAACCTCTCAGATGGGATGTACATTTAACCATCGGGATAGCTGCCAGTTTTTCAAGTAATGCCTACTGTAGAGTGTTTTTGGTAACTGACTCCAAATAGGCAAAACGCCCTTTTAAGAGCCCTAGCAGAGAACTTGTCTACAGCTTTTTTATAGCTTACTCCCTTATCTTGCAATGAATTCAACCCTACTGTACTAAAGATATCACTGTCCATGCTGAGGGAAGTCATTGTATCAGAAACATTGTACAAGGAGGCACTACCTTTACTGTAAAACTTACTTTTACCTAAAACTTAAAGTCAAATTAACAGTAACAGTACATGATGCCACAAGACTTGAAAGACATAATTTGTAGTGTTGGAAGCAACCTCTCTAAATGTTGGAAAGGTTAAGGTCCCTGGAATGTTGATGCAATAGATGTATTTTTTAAAGTTTTTTTTTTGAGTCACAATCTGTGGTTTAAATGGGTTTGAAAAATTCCTTTGAATGTTGTTGTAATAGATGTAATGTTTTTATATTTTTTGTCATAATCTGTACTTTAAACAAGTTAGAGATTGAAAGAAAAGATATTTGGCATTGATAGTTCAAGCAGCCCTTCTAGGAATAGGCTTAGGGCAAAAGGGCTGGACATCATTGCAGGAACCTGGAAGGATGAAACTAGAGAAGGTCCATGTTTAGGCTTTGCCTAATCTATTCCTCAGAAATGGCCACCTTTGCATACCAACTGTGAAGGAGTCCTTGGAGGCAATTTTCAGATTTTTTCATTTCATTTGGTCTTGTTTTGCAAGTGTAAGGACACTGGGTACACACTGGAGTTCTAGTATACTTGTTTGCAGAATTAAAATTTGGGAAATGTTTGATACAGGAGGAGAGGGGTTGAGTTATTGTAATGAAAATTGTATTGATGAAAAAGTCCTGCTTAAGGACATATGACTTTTGAAAGTATTGGTAACCTTTATAGCAACTCACTCTGGCAAGGGTTAATTTAGTTGAGATTTATGTACTCTTTAAGTTCAAAAGGTTGTTTCCCTTGTGCAATTCATATAAACAGAGCAAAATAAACCACAATTTTCACCCTCACATTTTCCTAGCCCTAAATTCTCACCCAATTGGCTTCTTTGGCATTAATCCCATCTGATCCTGTGCAGTACTGACAAGTTAAACAAGGCTTTGCAGATACTTAAGCTTTAAATCCCATGTTACTTGGGAAATAAACAACATTTCTAATTCTAAAGCAAATTTTTTTGTGGTCTCTTATTAAATGCACTACTGTCTCAGTTGGAAGGTACACGTGTCCAGATATCACCTTTACCTTTTGGCTGTTTATTTCAAGTGTTGCATTTTCAGGGGAAATCAAGATTCCTTAAGGATTTCTGGTATCCCTAAAACCATCATAACTCCATCAATATTTTTCCTTCTTGAAGTGGAAGCTAAATGTTTTTTCCCCTTTTTTTTTTTTTTGCTTTAAAAATCAGAATTTCAGAAAGTTTCTTCCTGAATGTAGACAGGAACCTCTATTCAAAGTTTTATCTAACATGTTGCTTAATATGCTGTGTAAAAAATTGCCATAAAACCATTTTGGTGACAAAGTTCTTAATTTTCCTCTTGGGTACGCAATTGAAAGGAAAGAATTTAGTGACAAGTCTGAAAGCACACATGGCGTTTTGTAATAAACTAAGCACTTACTGGTTCACACAGTTTGCCATCAACTAAGGGCACATACACTCAACCAGCACTGAAGATAGTGCTTTGGTGGATGTTTTGCTGTCATCAGATAACCTTCCTTAGAGTATGTGTATTGAATTCTATTTTCTGTTAGATATCATTTATATTTTGAGGATCTATACGAGTTGTCTTTTTGTTATCCTGTTGTTGCTGTTAGATCTATATTGTAATCGGCTGTTAGTTCAGTTAGAATGGCAAATTTCAACAAATTATGTGCAAGGCATACAGGTGTGAAGGCTAAATCCAAAGCTGATGTGTTGGATTATCGATTAACAATGTGGGAAGATGGCTGGGAGCTGGGAGCTGGGAGCACTCTTTTTATCTTTATCTGTGTTCTCTCTTATGTTGGGACTTGGACTTTGTAATCCTCAGGGGAGAAAAACATAATGCTCTCGTTTAAAAATATTCACAAACAGCTTACATGCTGTTTAAAAAAGTAAGTAGATGGAAGTAAAGATTTTAAGTGAGTATTATTTTGATGGTGTACTGAGTTAGCACAACCAACTGTCTGCTACAGTACGTGATATTTTTTAGCTTTTTTTGTCTGAACTTTGACAACTTGTCAGGCTGTTCTTAAAATTGTTTTATTATACTTGGCCTTTTGGAAGATTTAAAGGTTAACTTGTTTTAGTGTTGTTGACTGATAGATTATCTGTTTTTGACAACTTGTCACTTTTTTTCCTCATCACAACTCATAACTGATATTCCGTTTCCATTAACCAAGAGAAAGGGTGGCTTCTTAATTTGTAAGCTTGATTAAAACTGTTTTCAAAAAATTTACTATGACAGCATACAAAATTTTTTGGTCATAATGAGGAAAAGCTTAATCAAAGTTTAATTTTCCATCTTAATATTACCTTGTGGGGAGAGATTCATTCACACATTAAAAAAGGTTGCTTATAACCAAATGTCTAGCAGACTAGAGAAGGGCTGGTACTGTTTTAAGTAAGAAGTTTGTGGGAAACAGTCTCTTTTAATGTACAGTGAACATAAAAGTTACCAATAAATATTAGAAAGTTGTATGTCACTTGTCAATACTAGGGGTTAAAATGGCTGTCTTTAGAAGTTGTCTTATATTCATTGGGTCAATGAACAAATTTGATGCTCATCGAATTCAATTTTTAGTAGAAAGTCCTGCATTTACTTCAGAAAGGGTATATATATTTTAATTTTATTTCCACCTCTTTGGAGATAGGAAGAAATGCTTCTTGGATCAGATAATGTTTGAAGAGTCAAGGACCAATTTCAAATTCAGCAAGGATAGACTGCTAACTTCTTTTTGCATCTAACTGTGAATACACACAAGAAAAACATGTTTTGATGTGATAACTGCTTTCACACAATTTTGTTTACTGGATGATAAGAAACCTTAATGAAGGGGTGTGTTGTTATGGCAGAAACAAAAAACTTGGAGACCCTTTATATGTTTCATTCATTCTGAGTAATAAAAAGGAATTTGCATAAATGAAATGGTTATGGGAGCAAAGCAATAGCTTTATTTTGTTTCACAATAGGCACAGGTACCCAAGCTTAAAAAGTGACTGGGAAACTATGGAATTGTAGATTGTTTTGCAATGTGATAATATGTCAATTTAAGCTGTAGTATACACAGTGTGCACGAAAAACCCATGTCCAATTGTATGGGACTAGTAGAAATTTAGTTTGGACATTTAATCCTTTGATATAACTTGTGCATAGTAAGGAAAAACAAAGAAACAAGTGAAAATTAACTTCGAATTACAGTAGAGTTAAAATACATCTTTTAATCATAAAAAACCCTTGTACTTGACAAAGTAAGGTTAAATATTCTTTTTAACTCTATTCTGCGGCCATTTTATTTGTTCTCTTATGAGCTCCATTTGGCTCGGGAATCTGGCCCTAGTAACCAGGCCTATTAATACATAACTTATTCCCAGGCTCAAAATTTGAGTTTAGGTTTGGGACAGCAAAATTTAATACAGTGCTTGTCCAAAGGACTAGTGGGTAAGAAAATTTTTCTATTAGCCTGATACATCTTGGTGATTTCCAGCATGACAGTCTCATGGAATATTCTTAATGAAGAAATGATTATTTTTAGTATAGAGAAAGAGATTCTCATTGTAACATTGTAAGAATGAAGTGGCCTTTCTGCTCAGATTACAATATATATTTTTCTTAATTCTGTTTTTTTTATAGACACCAGTTTGGGAAGAGGGGGATATTGAAGATAATTCAGGAACAAGAAACAAGCGATCAAATTCCCTGGGAAGTGGAGACCAGAAGATTAAAGAGGTAGTCTCTCTAAACTTTATAGAGGTTAAGGTCTTAATGTATTTTGAGCTCTTAAGTTAACTACACCAACTCCCTGTGTCTGTGGCATTCCACTCCGCTTACTTCCCCCCCTTCTTCCTCATTCTATCCCCTAACCCCTTTCCCCATAAAAATGATGAATATTGGTTCCTGGAATTCTAGAAATCTACCCATAGGCAGGGGAGCAACAGTTTCAGTTTCCAGAGAAATGGGGAATGTGTTCCAAAACCTGCTATTGGTCTTCCTGTATCGCTTTTACTGAAACTATGTTGCTCTTCAACAATAATAATTATTATCAGTGATAATTATTGATGAAAGCCACTTTCTCAAGGTTAATTGCGTCTTTTTAACAATCTTTTTATAGAAATTGAAACAACATCTTCAACGCACAAAGCAAGGCAGTAAATCTAGCCATACGTATGGCCGCCAGTCTCCCCTTCATGGTGATCATACTGCTATTCCAGCAAGCCGGCTGCCTCAGTCAATTCCCATTTCAATCCCTTTGGGCCCAAGACCATCAGAAGGACCTCAGAAAAGAAGCTTGGAAGGCCTAAACTCTGAAATTCAGAAACTTGTTTTGACAGATGCTTCAACAGAAAGGGTATGTTTATTATGTGTTGGCACAACATATCTCGAGTTAATCCTGGCTTGTTTGCCATTGCGTCCTTCTTTGGTGTGTCAGAAAATGGCCTAGTTAACCTTAAAAAATGCACGAATTTGTATTTATTAAAAGGGGGTTTGTTTCCTTAGACATCAGAACATGTTCCAGATGGACGCAAAGCCCCTGTATTTGAGGTACTGTCTGGGGCCCCTTTTCGGACAGTAGACACTCACACGCAGACTCCCTCTAATAATCAAGAGGGGCAAGATAGTAGTGGCAGTGGTAGCAGCAGCAGCAGAAGCCATTCTGCATCCCCAACCTACCCCATCATGCCAGGGGCATCTGATTCAAGGCCTTCATCAAGATGTTCCTCAGGAGGTGCTGCAGATGCTGAAGAAAATGTTTCTCCTGAGCTTCCTTCAGGGGGTTCGAAATATGCCTCCTCACCAAAGCCCAATAATTCTTATCTGTTTGCGAGGGAGCCTCCTGATGGAGCAGAGAAAGTCCCATTACATGTTGAAGATGCTGACAGGTGGGTGACCCTTAAATGAAAAGGAGGTTAAGAAAGTTTCAAAATGTTTTTCATGTTGTTTTTATTGCTCAAGTTAACCAGTCAGCATGTTACTGCTAAAGTGCTTGTTAGTTTTAAGAATTTATTTTTGAATAAAATCAATGCAGTAGTTTTACCTTGCCAACATGAATTTGACGAAATCAAACCTCACTGACACCCACAGTAGTAAGCGTCTTGACAACAGAAAGCATAAAAAGGAGTTCATCATCTGGTAAAGTAGCATTCAATTGAGTGTTGAAAGTAATGCGGGATTGCTATGGTTTTGCTATACTTCATCATGTGATTGGTCTAGAAAACTCTTGCTACTTTCTTAACAATCGGGTTCAAAACTAAAACCAATTGCAGTTTGGTCTGGTGCAATTTCCATCACTTCAGGCAGCTTATTTGTTTTAATCTTGACTTCTTACTGGCTCTTTGTGATATTTTCCCTGCCCCGCTTGGCTGTTAGTGGGTTTTTTTTTTTTTTTTTGTTTTTTTTTTTTTACAACCCCCAGCTGAAAAGTGCTCCATAAGACATAAACTGAAGCTAGGCTTAACAGAAGGAAGGTTAATTGTTTTTGATTGAAACTAATTCATATGTGACTCTAAAAAGAATCCTAATAAGCTTTGTAACAACCTTCCCTTTCTTTTAGAAGTGCATCACCCCAGATTTTTTGCCCAGACAAGACAAAGGTGAACTTCATAACTATCCCTGCAAGATCAGCATTTTCTGTCTTCAATGCCCTTCCTTCCCTGCCCAAGGTGGCTGTCACCTCTCCAGCAACAGCAAACCAACAGTTATCACAAGTGGAAGCTTCACAGTAATAAGAACTGCAAGGGACTTAAACAAGCTGCAAACTGTGGCCATGCAGTTCAACCATGAAACTGAAGTACTTAAGAAATACAAAAAACAAAAACAAAACAAAACAAAAAAGATTAACAAAAATAACTAATTTATTGCAAGCATTAAGAATGACTAGAGGGTTCTTCTTAGTTTCCTCTCTGACTCCTGTGCATTAACCTATTTAATTATTTTAAAACTACTTTTCTTAAACTGTCCTAATGTACCTGTTTTATGAAAAAATTTGATATCTTGACCAACTTGTTTGGTTTGAGAAAGTAGTGTGGGGGTGGATGTTTTGTGCTTCAATGAAGAAGTACTTGTAATAAAATTATTCTTCTGTTGTTTTTCTCTTTCTCCACTGGATGAAGATGGCTGCTCTACATGACTGGCATTTCTTTTCCAGTAATAGTGTGTTTCAAGGAGCTTGTGTATATGGTAATGAAATTTGTAAGGTCTTGTATATTGAGGCATTTGTTACTAAAGATCTCTGAACATTATATATTGTCTCAATTTACCCCCTAACTCCCAAGATCTCAACATAAATTTTCTGCAATGTCTGTCACATTTCTTTTCAATTGAGAATTTGGCGTTTTAGACAAACAACATCTCCACATTTAAATCTTTCTTGCTTCTCATCACCCTCCAGCTTGCAAATGTTGATACAGTTTGAAGAGGAAAACTGTTTTGGGTACACTGGGAGTGAATGGATAAAGGAAAAATTGAACACTTTTGGAATTTCAATTTTTTTTTGACTGGTCCTTTATAAAAAGGAAACAGTTATGCAATGTTTGGGAGAGAAGGATGGTTTTCTTGTGATCCTGGTGTTGGCTTGGTCTTGAGTCAGGAAAATGTAAATGATGGCTCTGGTTTGATTTTTTTTACTCGAACATTTGTAAGTTACCACAAGAAGTTTGCATGTTTGAGTTCTTTAGTTTGTGTGTTTTTTTTTTGCTGTTGTTGTTGTTGTCTTTTTTTCAACATGTTTGTTTGATGTAGTGCTAGTGTTTGGAAGCTTTCTTAAAGAAATTTTATACCAAAAAAGTACCAACCACCCTTGATGTACCGTTGTCAGGGGGCATTTGAGTGTTGAAGATTGTATATTATGTTGTTATTCTATCATGTTAAAAAAGTGTACTATATTGATAGATTTAATATTAAGTGTAACTTAAAGAAGACAAACCTTTCAGTGATAATGCGTTTAACAGTTAAGGAGTTTTATATAAAAAGAAACCTATACAGCATTCATTGGCTTAATTCTTAATGTATACTACAGTTCTTGATGTAAATATTTTATGGATTGAAATAACTATATAATACTTGTATATTTTTACACTGAAAGAAAATCAAATCTGTTGTAGATTTATTGGACAGTGAAGACTGCTCCAGAGTTTGTGTACTGAGACCTGTTTTGTGCCTCTTCTAACTGATCTACTGGCTAGGTCAGTGTTACCGGTAACCGAAAGTACAACTTCTGCCCTTGAATAATGTTGAACAAGAACTAAAATTTTCTGTCAGGGAACATTCTCGTATTTATTTTGTGGAATTGTCGGTTTCTGTCGAGAGATGTGTTTAGGTTGGCTTCCTTGGATTTTTTTGAACCAGTCCCCAGGTATAGGGTGTGATTTCACATCTTGAAAAAGTGATGATAATGATCATTTTATAATTATCCATGTCTTAACATATCTTAGATGCTCTCTGTATTTTAGGAGAGTATAATTACTTGGACATACATTTTGCTAAACACATGTAACTTATTGTATTCCTATTACCACATACTCAGTACTATTAAAAATTTTAACAGAAAAGGTCTGAGCATTTTTTTATTCTTCTAGTCTCAAAGTTTCTTAATTCTCTTTGCCTTGGTCAGGAATCACTTTGCTGAATTGATATGAAACAAATTGTTTCATATTGCTTACTGTTGTCAATGTCTTTTTTTCTGGACAAATCTACAGATCAGGGCCCAGTTGTAATGGATGAGTGATTGCTAAACATTTAGTGTTGTCCACATTATTGACTTATCCAGTGGATAGCATTATCCAACCTTTAAACAACCAGGGCTGGATCAAGTCAATCTTTTAAATAGTGATATACACATTAGGCTTGATTACCAGCTACTGTTCAGGAATATGAGCCCATGCTCCTCCAATTAAACCCATGGGGAGAAGCAAAGACTGGACACGAGAGCAACAGAAATGGAGCCTATATACAGCATGAAAAACTGGAATGTTGTGTATCAACTTACTGACACTGACTCTTGTAGACGATGTGTAATCAATGCATCACCTTAGTTTTTTCTTAATCCTTTGCACCCTAACATCAGTACGCACATTCTCCACACTGTTTTTAATATATTCCCTTAGGAGCAGACCAAGAGAATTTGTTAAACAATCAAGAGCTTTACTTGATGATCATTTCCTCTATTCTCATGACCCATGTATGTGATTAAGGAGTGGCATATAGGGAGAAATTAGCTGCTGGTCACTTTTAGGGGTTAAAGGTTCAAATGTTTTCCTTTATATACACCTCTCAATAAAAAAGGTTTAGGTCTGTACTTTGAGTTCTGAAACACAAATATTCTTAAAAAATTGTGTTCTCAGGAAAAAGCCACTTGGTCACTAAAAAAAGTAAACTGCAAACAACAGTTATTAGTTTGTAGCTCTGAGGTTTGCTCAGGTGACCCTGGCTTAATTGTGAATGGTCTGAAAATAACTGAGTTGTCAGTGTAAGATCAAAGTGATAATGCTTTTTCACTGTCTTCTGGTAATATAAAATAAAATATTCTTTCTTGCTCATCAAACATATCAAGAGAATCTTTGGAAATGTTCACATTTTTAGGATTACTCTTCTGATGCCTTCTAGCTTTCCTCTAAATTGCAGGAATAATGACAGTGTATTATTTTGAGAATGCCATTTGAAAGAAACGTTAAAATGTTACAATTCTCCTCCTCTTAGTTCAACATGTCTCATATGATTGACAACTATTTACACTTGTTACCCTAAGATCATTTATTGGCTATAAGTAACCTCTTTCAAAATTTCAACAGTTTATTGGGTTATCCTCTATAGGCTCATGGCAACATCCCTTACTTTATGTTGAAGTTTGAAATTTTAAAATTGGTCTATATGTGAATGGTAGCTTCCATTTGGTGCAAAATTGGGCTAGCTTTGAGCACTAGACTATATTTCCAAACCAAATGGAGGCTATCATACAATTATTCTTACTATCCATAGAAGAGAGAGATCACAAACAGCTTAGCATCACAAATGCATGTTGCTTTTGCAGAGAAACTTTATAGGCCAATATGTTTTTCTATTCTTCTGTAACAACAACAAAACGCTTCCCCTATCTTGAATAAACTATCTATGGACAATTTTCTCCACAATGATTACAAGGTTGAGTCTTGTGGAACATCACTGAGAGAATATCACTGGATATCACAACATTTTATCAGACATATTCAGTGAGGTGTCATATATAGATAAATCAAATTCTAGCAAAAATATTCAATGAATTATAACTTTAATGACTGATTTTTACTGATGGTGATATCTTAATGATTCATCTCATTCTTGCCATGTCAAAAAAATTCATTTTGTTGAGACTGCATATTCAGATAAGATTGCGCAGATTAGCTGTATAATCAACAATGTGATCGTAGTTCCATTCATCATACCACCGACAGCTGCCCTGCTCATACTCATCACAAGACACTCGGGGCTGATAGGCTCCACGCTTTGGTAGTTCTGGTTGTGGAGGTCGCTTTCCAAGGGTAGGAAAATTATGGTAGTAGTACCTTCAAAGAAAAAATAAATAACCAGGTTTAAAAAAGATTTTTCGAAATCCAGATTTCGTAGCCTTAATACTAGGGTAGGAAATCATCTGCATGTTTGGGTCATATCAAAAAATCCTCCCAAAAACCATTCAAAATAACCTAATGTGTATGAATCAGATAAAAGCAAAAGCAAGATTTTTTATGCAGTATAGAATAAAACTAACCTCCTTCAAGAAATTTTTACTGAAAAGGTGGAGAGGTACTGTGCCAGTTTAAGTATCATGGTCAAGAGTGAATCTCAAGGCCCCAGCTATTAAGCACAAACCCATACCATCCCAACACAGAGCACAGCACTCGAACTGCAAGGCCACAGCTTCTTTCCCCTTACTAGGGCAAGGAATGGGCATGAATATTGTCTTCAACAGTACCATTTCCTTATCACATTCATTACACTTACCATCTCTGTATAATAAACTTGTGTCCTCTGATCACTTTGGCAGCATTGTGCAAAGAAGTGGGGTCACACTCTCCATGGTTGTTCATGCTGTTCCATATTAATGCAAGACCTTTACGAGGCTTCACACTGATTCCCAGTTGTGGGAATTTTGTCTCTCCACCTTCCTCTACATCTTTCAAGTACACTAGTATAGTTGCAAATCGGTCTCGTTTCTCATCATTGTCAACAATGCAGTCAGTGTGATTCTTGTAGCCTGAGAAAGTTTACTAAAGGGGTAAGTCAACTGTTATATGAAAAGGGAAAAAAAATAATATAGGGATTTCAACTAGTAAACATAAATCTGAATCAACAATCCTTCCATTCATTCAGCAATGCAGAGAAGATAGTTTAAAGACTTAAACTACTTTCCCAAGAAAAAAGGTGAAAAGGAACCAAGAGTGACCAGCATCTAATTTCTCCTTACACCCCACTGATGAATCACAAATCAAGGTTGGAGGAAATAGGAAAAAGGGAAATGATTGCCAACTAAAGAAACTTTCAGTACCATAGAAAATAAGTAAAGAATAGTTTGGAGGACCTACATACTGATATTTGGTTAACAAGAGTCAGCTCATGTTTAAACAGCTGTTTTTTTGAACAACTGTCCAGACTTTAACCAGATATTAGATTTTATTTGATTCTAAATTAAAATTATATATCAAACACTTTTCTTTGATTTCTAGCTACTTTTGATCAGTATAACACTGTTCATATACAAAAACTTTAAACCATGCAGTTTTGATGAAAATATTGACCTGAACCACATGAAACAGTTTGCTAAACACTACAACTGATAGAGAATTGTTTTGGACCAGGCAGTTTATTGAATGTATATATCCTACGTACATAAACCACAAGACTATTACATTAAAAGTATTTGATGGATGCATTAAAAGTTGCCTATGGTGTGAGTGGGAGGGAAACTAAAACTTTCCAAGAAACTAGAACACACATGTTGCTTGAATGCTTGACTGCTAATAACATGTGCACAGATACCTAAGCAGTAATAAACTAAAGTAATTTTGCATTTAAAACGGGCTAGTGTGGTGCGTAGCCATTGGCTATATCCAAGTTCTATGACTTACATGCTGAACAAATTGCTCAATCTAGGAAAGGACTAATATGTAAATTGCCTGTACCCTGTCTAAACCTCTCAATTATCAATGTCTAGATTCATATTAATGAGATTAATATTCACTTTATAACTTACCAATATTCTGTGGGTATGACGTAATTTGGAACTTTCCACCATTTTCAAGTTTCAGCCCTGTAGCCTCTGATATTCTCTCAGCAAATATTGTTGAAAATTTACTCTCCCCTGGATAAAATGCTGTGCTGTAACTCCACTTAAAGTGAGGCTGTAATTTTTTTGAAAATGTCTCATTTATGCAGGTTGTTCCTCTGGTGAAATCAGTCAGAGACACCTTTAATTTTAGCTTTGCTTCTTTTAAGTATTCACGGAAAGACTTGATACCGTCAAAGCAGATAATGGGTACCTGCTTGTTTAGCTCAGACACGTACTTGTCATGTACCATGACAAGCCTATCACATTCCATGTCACTGAGGAAATTTTCAATCACATATGCGCGGACACTACTTTTGGAATTACTGTGTGTTAGTGGCTTGAGTTTCAGCAATTGATTCCTTTCTTTTAGATCCTTCATTTGCAGCTCACTTTGAATAGACAGATTGAAATCTTTATATTCTTTAGGAATTTCATGAGCTCCTTTAGATAACAAAAAAAATAACAATCATCACCACAATTACAAAGGGTGAATAAAACATAGGATTTGTTATGATAATTTTGCAAGAATTTTAGGTTTTTCTAATCACAGGCCATGGTACAATCAAATACAATCATGCAGGACAAGAGAGGGTTTCTTCTAGAAAAAATTAATTAAGGGCCCATTTATATGGTCTGCAAGACAACCCTCACCCAAGTTAACCTGGCCAAGCTAATTTTTCACTAATTTCTTTAAGAAAATTTTTAGGAGGGTGAGCTGTTTGATTTTGGTTTCTCCCTTTTAGAGGCTACCCAAAAACTTTGGCTTGCCTGCCCAAGATGAGGCAGCTCAAATTTTATGCAATTTGTAACCTGGCTAGCTGTCACAGGAGAGGCTAGTGAGGGGTCAGCTGTTGCAACTTCCAACTCCCAAAATGCCTCATAACACAAAGTAACCTTGAGGAGGAAGGTTGTCTTGGGTACCTGAGACCATATAAATGGGGCCTTAGCACCTGAAGATTCACCAACTTTAGGATAAAACTAAACGGATTTTGCAAACGTGAAAACCAACAACTAAGTGGGGAATTGTCTTTCTTTGGAGTCAAGGTATCTCAGCCTGTTTGAAGGTATTTAAAAACCTAGAGGTCAGGCCAGGCAAGTCCATCGATAATAACAGAAAATAATTCAATTTTTGATTAGTGAGCCATATAACAATCAGTTCCCAACAGAAAAAAGTCGGGGAGGATTGTGTAAAATTATTGTATAATATTTTTTTGGATATATATTTATATGAACTTATCTGGCTGACTCTATTACCGTATGCAATCAAATTCTACGAGGCAACAGAAATGTTACTGGTTCCTTCCATCAGGATTATTAGCATAAACAAATATCCAGCCTTAATGTTGAGATCTAATTACCCTACAACGCAGAATACCGCGTTTATTCTAAAACGTTGAATTCTAAAAAAAATCTTACCTGTCGATTTCTGTTTTTGGTCCTCACTTGGGTCATCTTTCGACTTTTTCGCTCTTTTATTTTGATCGTCATTCCTACCCTGTGAAACCTTTCCTCTGGGACCAGTTTGGGTGAAAGGACTGAAATACACAACAATTGTTCCAATTAATAAACAAAGCACGACAATGACGAGACCAATTTTCCATCTTGAAGATGTCTCTTGCTTCCTCTGAATATGTTTTTTCGAAGATTTTTTGGCGGGTTGTCTAATTTCGGCCCCCTCTATGTGGCCTCTTTTCGCTGCTTTTCTGGGAGCCAGCTTCGTCATATTTAAAGAGGAGTTCGGTCTGAGCTTTTGAACTACAATAGGACCGCTCTAAAAAACTATGAAGCAAACAATTAGTGAAGTACTCGAAAGGTGCAAAGTTGTCATCTGCAAAGCTGTGTGTGTATTACCAAATTGGAACCCAGAGCCCCGGGTCTTTACATTTTGTCACGCTACCAAATCAATAGTCATGCAATGTCAGCCACTTGTCACGCATCTTCCTAACCTCTCATATATACATATATGTATACATATTTTGAAATAAGGAAAAAAAACATTATATATGCATTCTCGCCTTTCAGCACGAGGAAATGAAGCCTGGGGATAGGGTATGTTTCTATAAGATCAAGTAAAACCTTATCTGTTGCGTAAATCCGATTTTGGTTAGGAGAGTCAAACCTGTTCAATCATGGTAAACGGAAGTTGCGTGACATGATCCCTACGCATCCACCACCAGGCTAAAATTGAAAAAGGAGACGTTCGGATTAGAATGACAGGTTTGAGGAGAGAGAGTAGCGAGTTTATGACGTGGTGAATGTTGCCGATAAAAAATAAAACAACAATTTGATGACTGAGAATAGAGAATAGAATGTTCAAGTTCGGTACAATGTTCATTATCATTAACCGAGCATATGAAAAAAATTTAAGCCCACAATGAAACACCAACTGACAGAAGTTGTTCTATCGAAGGAAGCCTAAGACTTCTTTGCAGAACATGTGATCTCGATGTTTGTAGTGGAAACGGAAACGGAAGCTTTTTTTGTTGCTGTGATATTTTGATGCATTGTGGGTAATTGGGTTTTCACTTCATGCATTTCGTCATACCTGTCCAGTTCTCTCTCTATCTGCCTGAAAATCGTAAATTTCCTATGTTTTGACTGAATTTGATGCGTGAACAAAATAATGGCCACGAAAGTAAGTTTTACACAGTTCAATATTTAACGCTGATGAAGTTTTTTGACGAAAATTGTGGTTATTTCAGGAGTGTTGATTCGTTGAATATACGACTATCATCGTAAATTAAGTTTAGAATTTTCAGTTCGAGCACCATTTCCAATTTTAGATTATTGTTAGTGAAATAAACTTAACTGTGACGCTCTGAGTCGTATTCTATGTAAACTTACATTCATTTTCGTTGGCCTTTAATAAGTGAAGATAATCTTAGCATTGTATACAAAGTCAAGGAAAGCCTAATTTTTGTCAAATTCCAGATACGATCAAGTCGTTAATTTAACTTTCAAAATTGTTCAAACTTGCACATTGCGTTATCAATAAAGAAGCTAAACTAGTGCACCTAGCAATATATTTCAGGATCAACATACAGTTAATCAAAGCACTTTACATTTCATCTCTCCTGGGGGAACTTTTCTCCCATACCATTGCCAAATAGTTCAAATTTCTCCTCATGATTCTGTGCCAACCAATTTTATGAAGTAGGTTAAAAGAGAGGTTTACGGGGTAGTATATGGTTGTCACAAGCTTTAAATTTGGAAAATGTTGGAGATTATTCTTGATCCTTAAAACAAAGTTTCTCAAGAAAAAAATACCCTGCAAAATAAATAGCCACAAAGAATTCAGTTCTCTTGAGCAATTAAGCAATACCTTCCAATCTTAAATGGAATTCAGTGAAATGTATCTAATAATGTACTTAGTGTGCACTAACTCATGAAAAAATAATAATCAGTTTGAATGTTTAAATTGTCTTGTTTAACCCAAAGGAATATTTTGAATGAACTTTAAGAGTTTGATATATCTCATGAACAATTCCTGTAGCTCATGATGTATAGGCATTTTTGTGCTGAAATTAAGAATCTTAAAACAGGCCATGTTAACCAAAATTGCATTTTTTCTAACAGGCTCTAAGAAGGACGAACCGTGCTGTTGAGTACTTTCCTAGTATAAGGGCTGTTGTCAATCAAATGGTCAGGAATGTTCAGCAAGGGGCATCGCTGAGTACATCAAGGACAGATACTGCAGTTTCTGGAGATGGATCTGGTACAGTATGACTCATGCCTATATGATATCTTAAATTGAAATTGTTATCATTATTGTTAATTGTGGTATGGAGGAAAAGAGGAAAGAAAATATCCTTTCTAAAAGAAGACCTGGTTAACCCTTTGAGTTGCAAGACCTTTTAGTATTTCTCTCTACTGACTGCTATGCAGTTTATTGTAGGGCAATTTGGTGTTATAACAACATAACACCCTCTTGCTGATGCTTTTTTCAACTCCTCTTACCTGTTTGTAGGATAACATACTAGAATCGCAATAAAAAATTTTCAAATTAGAAGAGTAATCTTTTTACCTGTTGAATTTTCTGGAATTCTATGTGATTTTAGACAATAATTAGGGGTACTTCAGTCACCAAGAGAGCACTGAGTCATCACTATATTGGTATAAAGGTCCTTCTCAGGACTACCCTCATCATCAGACTCTACCCACTTACTTAGTTACCATCAGCCCATCACACCTCCTGGGGAATAAGGTAACAACAAAGTCTTTCCATTCTTCCCTATCCTGGGCCCGCTTCCTGATTGCCCCTCTTGTCTCATGTATTTCTTCATCCCTTCTTCAATCAGACTATATGTTCAAATAATTATTCCAGGTTCAAACTATTTGTTGGATTGAATTATATTGTCCAGTTTATCTTAATAAAGGACTGAAATTAATTAATAATTAATTTAAATCGCTGAAGAAGAGAACTGTTCTGTTGTTTGCCTACAAGTAAGGATCACATGAGAACCCTTTGTTAAGAGACATAAACCTTTTTGCAGGTAATTGGCCAGATGCCAGACTAGGACCATTTGCACCTAAAGATCCTCAATTCCCTCTTCCTGGTAATGTTGGTATTGACTTAACTCAGCTTCCACAGCCAGCCAAAAAAGAATGTGGAACACAAAGGCAGACATTAGCAGAAGCTTTGTTAGAACTGGAATCAGATGATATCAGAAAAGCAGTCATTATTGATAGTTATTCCAAAGATTTTGTGGAAAATTATGAGGAAGCAGTTGAAACAGAGGTAATCAATTCTGTTACTCTTTAGTACCTTGTTAGTCTTTAGCAACAATCAATTCAGCAAAAACATCTCAAAATTTGTTTTTGTTGATTTTAATTCACAATAATTGTTCAAAAGTAGCACAGTTTTGGCTTTCACCTTTATGTCCTTACATCAGTATATATACTCCCCATACTGAATATTATACATCTTCTAAGGTGCTGACAAGGAAAATGTATCTGGCAATCAAAGTTTTCTTTAGTTGATGATCATTTCCTGTCTTCTCTTTACTCAGGGGTGATATTATAAACTAAGAGAAATGAGATGGTAGTCACTCATAGTGGTTAAGGGCTTAAGTGGCTTGAACCCTCCTACAGTGTGTCATTATGTACAGCATTGTACTCAACTTTAGACTCTCTTTGGTTTCAAACTTATTTTCTTCATTTAGAATGACAGTTCTTCTGGTTCAGTAGAATGCAGTGTACAACAGTGCCCTTCTTTCCTTCACCAAAGCTTTATGGAGTTGTTTCCTGGCATTGGAATACAGATTGGTCAACTAACAGTTGTCAGCATTAGTCAGCATACTAGAAATGACATGAGTGCTTGGTCACCAGATGTTGAAGAAGAACGAGAAAGCCTCATGGCTAGTGTAAGATAAAATTGTTCATTAATAGATAATCACAACAGTTGCAGTGACAACAAGGCAGACAGACCTTCAAAAAAACTCATTGTATTGATAATCTCTCATTTTTTCTATGTTTTTTCTTGTTGCAGTTTGTGGAAAGTGCAAAAGAAATCTGTAAAAGTCTCCTAGCAGCTGGGTATTGGGCAGACTTTATAGACCCATCATCAGGAACAGCAGTAAGTTTATGAGTTTTGCAACTTTCTCTAGTTGTTTTTACCAGTATACATTTAATTTTATCTTTAGTTTCTGAGAACTGTACTGTACAAACCGTGATGGTTTTGGGGATAAGTTTCTAAAGAAACTGTGGTGGTGTGTTGGTAGGGAGTATTACAAAATAATGTTATTTTTTTGACTGAGTTGACAAATGAACGTAATATGGCGACCTTAAAGAGTTTCTTAAACTGACCTTTCAAGTACAAGCCCTTCATCAGAGTGCCCTTTGCTCTGACAAAGGGCTAATGCTTGAAACATCAAGTTTAGTGGTGGTCACAGGTTGATTGTAGCCAAGTTCAGGTTCAGCAGATACACTTCTATTTTTGTAGTAGAAAGTTTAATCCCTTTGTTATACTTGAAAACAGCAAACTGATTTGTCTCCTAGGTGTCAGCTGGAATTTCTAATCATGTGATGTGACAATTGAATAATGTTTTCCTGTGTTTATTAATGAGTGGAATATTGAACCAGTGTTAGCAACTTATGTCACTTCCACTAAATATGAACGTCTGCCACTTACTTTTGTTGAATAGATATGATTATATTCTTACCCTTTACTCCACAGTTTTTTGGACCACACACAAATAGTACTTTGTTTGAAACAGATGAACGATATAACCATTTAGGCTTCAATGTGGCAGATCTTGGTTGCTGTAAAGTTATCTCACATCGTGTTTGGGGATCTTTTGCATTTGTTGGAACTATATTTACTAATGCACCTGCAAACTCAGATATACTTGGTGATAGTCTAGAACAAACAAAGTCTTCAGCTTAGAAGGGGGCAGTGGTGATTCATCAGCCTGAAAAAAAGACAGTTACTACAATTATTTTTGACTTAAAATATGGAATATCCTTTTGTGGGTGCTAAAGACCTATCTCATTTCTTCTCAAATTGTAAAGAAATTATTCTATTTTTAATTTGTAGAAGAATTATGGTTACTTCACTCTCCATATGTTGATATTTTAAATTACATTTAGAGTGACAGAGTTTTACTTGAAAAATGTATTTGAACTGGTGATGTTAAGTTCATATATACCTTTCACATGAAATGTGAAAAGATTATGTGTCCTCTGTTGAAGATTAGATAGAAGTTTGTTATAGATACTGCATATTAGCTCTTACTGCTAGTTTTAAATTCCATGTGAACCCTTTAACTTCCAAGATCTGATTATAAATTCTCCCCTCTAGCTGCTACACATTTCCTTGTAAATTAGTTTCAAGAATTGGGTGTAATAATATACACCTGATTAGTTTAGGTTTTCTCATTACTTGTTTGCTGGATAATGTATGGCTATGAAAGGGAAAAGTTATGTATTAATCACTGCTGGGAGTTAAAGAGTTAAGTGTATTCTACAGACACAAGTTAACAATGCATGACATTGTTAAATTTATATTAGTTATTTGCAGAACAACCTTAGGTATTTATTTGAACTTTTTCTTTCAAAATATCTAAAACCAAACTCTTGTGGGCATCCTCCTCAGATCTCTTTGTTGAATATTCTAGAGAATGTGTCTCTTTTTCATGACATTCTCCCCCAGATGTAAATGTTCCTAATTTTAATTTTTCGTCCTAATTTTCAAGACTCTCAAGACTTCCTAAGCTAAATTTATTACAGGGATTTCAACCACTGGGAGTAATTTTATTTAAAAGTGTGGTAACTTCAGAGGCTAAAAAGTATTTATCTTTTAATTGTTTTAAGTTGAAATAGTTTGAATTGTTTGGCTAAGATTTGCAATACATAATGAAGTTGAACAAAATACTTCATGTCTAGTGGTAGACTCAGAAGATAAGCCCAACTTTACTTTTTACCTGCTTAGTATTAAAACTTACTGAAAGGCCCTTACAATACCAGGAAACGTAAACATTCATAACTAAGATTTAAAAAGTGTTTGTGTTCATTCCTCCATTAAAGCAAACTAATGATCTTGTACATGATCCCAATGTCTGTGAATTGTTCTTTGAACTAATTTTTCCTGAAAATCTCTGAATTTGTACCCTTTTTGTTCTACTGGGACATATCTTGACAGAATGACACAAGTGTTAGTAAACATGGAGGGGAGGGAAGGGAAAGAGTCTCCTGAATTCTTCTCAAACATGAAGATCAAAGTAGAGGATAGTATTTTTTTTGATGCTATGTCCCAATAATGGTCCAATAATAAAGGATAATTTTCCATCATCTTTACCCTCAGTGTTATTGAGGATTTATCAGAGTAGCATGAAATAATTGATTTTGAAGGTAACAGTTTTGAAGAGCTGGATATTATAATTCAGGTTGTTTGAAGGGTGGATAACAGTATCCACTGGATAAATCTCTATTCAGTGGATAGTACAGTACATTTTGTAAACATTGGTGTGCTGGATAGCGATTTATCTGTGGGATAGCACTATTCACCCTTACAACAACCATTGAGGCCCTGAATGCGTGAAACCTGGCTCCGTGTAATGTACTGATGTTCATTTATTGAAGAATTAATTTGCTACCTTGAGAACACTACCATACAGTGATACTGAAGTATCTGTGTGACGAAAATTGCTTATTGACTAGTTCTGAGTCATTTTCCACAGCTAGTCTTCTACCTCTCTTAGCTTGGATTACCCTTAGAAAGGCAACTTCTGACAACTTTGAAAAACAAAACAAAAAAAATTCATCAGTCAATTAAAAAATGGCTGTTACTTTCATTGAAGAAAAACGTGGATGAGTCTCCCAGGGTAAATACCCTCCTAACAGAAACGTTGGCCAGTGGCATATATAGTTAATTCTCATAACAACAAGAAAAAATTGCGAAAAATGTCTTCAGTCAATAGGTTATTGAGTGGGACTAGGTTCTAATATCCGGGTCAGCGACTTTCGCCGAGAAGCGGACATAGCTGCATAAATTGTTTGCAGAAGTTCGGCTTCAGAGGTGTTGCTAAAAATTTTCAGGCACGAACTATTTTTTCCCTCGGTGTTTTAACAATTCTTTCATTCAGTTTGTATTAGATAAACCCAACGAACAAGATGGCTGCCAGAGCAAAGACGAAAAAGACAACAAAAAAGCGAGCTCACCGAGCCACCTCTAACGTTTTTGCCATGTTCGATCAAAACCAAATTCAGGAATTTAAAGAGGCCTTCAACATGATAGATCAAAACCACGACGGCTTCGTTGATAAAGAAGATTTACACGACATGCTTGCGTCGTTGGGGAAAGATCCAACCGATGATTATTTGGAAGAAATGATAAAGATGTCGCCTGGTCCTATCAATTTCACTATGTTCCTAACACTGTTTGGTGAAAAACTAAACGGGACAGATCCTGAGGATGTAATAAGGAATGCCTTTGCCTGTTTTGATGATGAAGGAACCGGCAAAGTGCATGAAGATGTATTGAAAGAGGCTCTAACTACTATGGGAGACAGATTTACCGAGGATCAAGTTGATGATATTCTACGTGACGCGCCTATCGACAAAGATGGATACCTGGAGTACAATCAGTTTACTCATATCCTAAAACACGGTAAAAAGGACGAGAATGATTAACTGTTTAAAATTCCGCTCAGCAGACATTGCTTTACGCTTAGAACAGTTTTCAGGTTAGCAGAACTTTCATTTCGTGATTTACATTTTTTGTGTATTAATCAGTTACGGGGTTTAATGATTATTCATGTATGGCAATACAAGTTATGATACCTACGCGGACTGTTTATTTTCCATACAATTCTAACCATCAACCAAAATTTGAATTGGTTTGTTAAACAGTAGGCTTGTTTTCTCTCAAATCCATGCGGTATAGACTAGAAAATTGAGCTGTTTAAGCTGGTACAATAAACAGTTTGTTATTTTAAACTAATTAAACGGTGATGGTAAAATTTCTGTCATTGTGGTTTGAAGATAATAATTTTCTCGGGTGCTCTCCATACCTCTTTTATTGCTCAAGTTGAAAAGAAGTGCCTTCACTTCTGAAAATGTTATACCCTCTGAACAATTTTGAATTCCCATAACATTCTCAAGTGCTTCAAACAAGTTTTCAGAACTTAATAACTGTTGTGTGATAGATGGTTAAAGTTTGAAAGTTCATTTAACTTTTAAACCCTAAGAGAGACTAGCATCTAATTTCTCTCGCAATATCTCCCCTGAATCCCACATTAAGGTCATGAGAACACGAGAACAAAGAAACAGATAACCAACTAAAGAAGCTCTTTACTGTTAAACAAATTATCATTGCCAGCACCTTAGGAAGTATATACGGAACAGAATGGAGAATATACATACCTTAATGCTGGGATGTAAGGAGTTAAACAAATTCTTCATGCCAGCACCTTAGGAAATGTATAGAGAACAGTATGGCGAATATGCATTTTGATGTTAGTGCGTAAAGGGATAAAGGCCCTTTTACTTTATTCCACTTAGATATGTCTGTGCCCTTCAGTTCTATGGTTTTACATACAACTCTTACTAAATTGGTGTTTTAACCACTGGTTAATGCATTGAAATTCTAAACCCTATTGGTAAAAATTTGTATGCTCTAACATTCATTATGGGGCAGGAGAGAGCTATATTTTCAAATATATCCACTCAGGAGATAGCTTTCCTGGTATTGTCAACTTTTAGGAAATGCCACAAAAGCAAAAGTGTGAATGGAAAACAGTTTCAAACTGATCCAGTTCAGTGGGGAAAGTGTCAACTTCAGGTGAACTTACAGTGTATGATAGAGAGAAAGTGCCAGCAAATGTCACTTACCATCCTTGAAAGAGATGTGCAAAATGTTTAATTTGAAAAGAGTGGTCAGTAAATCTTCTTTCTAGTATTGATAAGGGAGGAGTGGAGCAAGTTTGTACTTCTAAGCAAGTCAATTTTGAGCACTATTTCTTTGTTCATATTTATATCATAAACATGCCAAACATAGATTTGGCTGTCCGTAGTTGTAATTTCATTTGAGAGATAGGATGTGTGAAATTTAAGAAGAAAAGATGATGGTTACTCTGCAACTTTTTTGCTGTTACTGCAAAATCCAAGTGCATGTGTTATCAATCATTAAAAGTGTAACTGAATGTTTTTTTTAAATGTAACTGCTAGAAATTTAGCAGACCATACTTGAATATGAATTTTAGTGGTCTGTTGATCCAGTGAATGAAAAAAAGATTTCAAACTCATAGAAATTCCAAACAGTATTAAGCAAGGTCTCCTCTGCTAAAGTTTATGAAAACATAACATTTCTAACATTCATAAAATATCTACTTTGAGTGGATGTTCTATAGCTGAGAGGGATTTATTTTACCAAGTGACATTGGTAGAGTATACCTCACAGTTCACTTAGTTAACTTCCGGTATTTGAACCGGAAGTGACTTCATGCGCTACGTGATGTGGGAAAGTAAAGGCGTGTGGCTTCGTATTTCAATTTCCAAATTTCCTTTGGGAGGAGTGTTAAGAATTAGTAGCGAAAACTGTTTCTTACACCGCCTCTATTTTTGCTTGCCGATCCGATTTTATACGTGTTAGTGCTTAAGGTACAAGATGGCTTCAAGAAAGACCAAAAAGACGACAAAAAAGCGAGCTCACCGAGCCACTTCGAACGTGTTTGCCATGTTCGACCAAAACCAAATTCAGGAATTTAAAGAGGCTTTTAACATGATCGACCAAAACAGTGATGGTTTCGTGGATAAGGAAGATTTACACGACATGCTGGCTTCCCTGGGTAAAGATCCTACCGACGAATATTTGGAAGAGATGGTGAAAATGTCTCCTGGTCCTATCAACTTCACAATGTTTCTAACGCTGTTTGGTGAAAAACTGAACGGGACAGATCCTGAAGATGTAATAAATAATGCGTTTGCCTGTTTTGATGACGATGGTAACGGTAAAGTGCACGAAGATGCATTGAAAGAGGCTCTAACTACGATGGGAGACAGATTTACCGAGGATCAGGTTGATGATGTGCTTCGTGACGCGCCGATTGACAAAGATGGATACCTGGATTTCGTTAAGTTCACACACATCCTGAAACACGGAAAAAAGGATGACAATGATTGAGACTATCGACAGTTTCCATGAAAATATTTCAGATTTGTTAAGAAAATTTTTGAGGGTCTGTTCTTTTTACTGAAATTTGTAATATATAAAATAATGAAGCGAAGATCTAATGTATGATATATTAGCTAGTTTGTGGATTCCATATTGTTAGCCATTTAAGGTCATTTATTGGCTTTGGAATGTCTGGCATGAAATTTATTGAACTGGAACGAATTGTTACCTATCAGAATTTACTTTAATGCGATAATCAATGTTAACTTTTTTTAAGCATTTCATCTTAATTGATCTTTTGTCACAATATGGGTTGACAAACTTCACTGTGTTTGACAATGGAAGCCTCCGTGACTCTCCTTGTTATTTCCCAGTGCTTGATTTAAGGAAACACTAAGATTTTTTTAAAAATGCCTCAAAATAATATTTTATGAATAAAGAAATATCAGGAACTAAAGTTGTAGCCATAGGGTTTGGTTATTGCAGTTAATGGCAAGAGCACAATCTTCAATCTTCCTGCTTTGTAATTCCTGTTTCAAGGTAATGCATTGTCACAAATGGCTCCCTTGCCTCAAGAAATTCATGGTAATTCACTTATAGTAGAAGATCACAGTGCTTTAATCACTAGAAATTGTGATTGTTGGTTCTCACAATTCACAATGAGGTTCACTCCCTCAATACACATGTGGTAGTCCTAATCCCTCTCTAAAATGATTGACATTGATCTTTTGAAAGCTGTCATGTGGTGATATGACACATCAATAAATTTAAACAACAGTAGTTAGACTGATTTCTGACAGCATGTTTTCTTGTTAATCTCAGCAGAGAAGTCAGTGTCATGCCGAGTTAACACTTAACAGGGTACTTTTACTATGTATCTGGACCCAAAATTATTCCAACAACATGATGAGACGTATCAACTTTGTGGCTCTTGTGTAACAGTACTTTCATACACAAAAGTGATTTCTAAACCAAAGTTTGGATCTAGTCTTTTAAGAATTCCTGTATCAGCCCTTAGGTGTTGATGTTACAGTGAAAAGTTGCATGTGAGTCACTTGGAAGTAACATGAACAGCAGTGAGAAGGATGACAACTAGCCTCCTGGATTGAACTGTTTCAATTGCTATTGTGTATAAGAAGATTGTAGCTTTAAAACAGCTCTTTCACTTAAGAAATTACATAAATATTGTTGAGAGATGTGAGGTCAATTTTAATTTTTTGGAAATGTCTCTAAGATATAGCTAAGGGATTCTTTGTGTTTTCCTTCGTAATAATATACTATTTACATTTAACAGAAAAAAATGACCTCCATTGTAATCTTTAAGTGCCCAGTCCTTCATATGTGATAAGTGATCTTCAAGCGTTCACTTTTGCTAAGGAAAGCAGCTACGCGAGAAAATGGGTCCAATATGAGTGTAGCATCACACGTTCCTGAGATAATGCAACAAGTAATCCACGTGAGTCGTTTTCGAGTCGATTAACTACCATCCCCACCCCTGCTGTGGTTTGAGTTCCGTAGTTCCCATGATTCTCATTGTCCCAGAGTTAGGCAGCGTCGTGTTTGATCACAAAGAGAAATTACAGATAAGGGATTCAGAACACGCAAAAGTTTGACTCTTGTGACACGTCTAAGCATCAAAATTTTGCTATGAATTCAGAAAAGAAACTTCTCATTTGGGTAGTCAAAACGTCAAGTAGCATATAGAGTGTAGCATTGTGGAGAACTGAGGACAAATTTGTAAACCATGTCGAGTATAATCAGTCGTTTTTACAACCGAAATTCAGTAATCGTCTTTAGCGTGGTGGCTGTGTCTGCGTATTTTGCTTATCGCTACTATAAAAAAAGAAGAAGGACAGACACTTTTGCAGACGAAGATGCGTTACATAGGGAAATAAGAAGAAGAAGGGTAGAGAAACTCGTGGAGTTACGGGATAAACTGGTAGGTTAGCTTTCCTCATGTTCAATCAGTGCGGTTAATCTCTTAGTGGCTGGTTTCAGTTATGTTTAACCGAAAATCGATATCATATTTAAAGTTCACTAAGACTGTTTTAGTTGTGAAGCCCTCACCTAGGATTGCCCCTTTCAGTTCAAATTGTTATATCCACAAGGCAAGCTCCCTATTCTGATGTTTCTCCAAGTAGATACATATAGTTTCAGTAGCTGTGCATCCCTTTCCGGTGCTGTACCTTGGAATATCCCAGCAGTTACTTGTATTTTCTCTGTTTAGCAGGGATATATACACGACAAGTGGGATATTCAATGTTTAATCAAAACTATAACAAAATTCTCGAACGCAATTGGTTATCACCAGCCTGATTTGAGCACTAATAGGACAGTGTATACGTCATGCTTGTAATTGGACAAACCATGTCATGTGCTTAGGTGCTGTTGTCTCGCATTTTACCGAGTTAACTGTTGATATTTTTTTTATGAAAACAAATAACTGATGTCTAGTTTCTTTCTCAAATTTTGTCATAGTTTTCATTAATTGGTAACAGGACTGCATGTCATCCAATTCTATCAGTAATCATAATCAGGATCAACAAATTGGGAGTTATCTGATTTTGTTAATCACTTGTATGATTACAGTCCGAATTGGACTCCACTTGGTCATAGTACCATTATTAGCCTCATGAAGGAGTTTTTTGACCCAATGTTCTTGAGAATCAATTGCAGTATATCCTGGGACTGTAAACTGACTTCTCATTATTTAGAATCTTGACAACATTACCAAAACTCTTCTCACATTCATTATGATTCTTCATGCTAACTACAAGGAATGCATATAAGATCAAATTATTACTGTGAAATACCAAAAAAAGCTAGAAACTGATTGTGACCTGTCAAATGAGGAGAAAAGGTGTAAAACTGTCATACATATAACACCTTTCCTGTATTCTGATTGACTTGATTTTGTTATATCATGGTATAAAATTAAGTGTGAATCTAGATCAACCATTCAGGAGGAGCATTTGAGGGAGTTGTTTTACACTCTACTCTTGAAAATCAACTGCAACATACCCTGAGATTTGTCTGAGGGAGATAGAAATTCTCCCATGTGAACAAAAGATCACAATGACTAAATTTCTTGAAAGACTGTTCTTTGTTCATCCCAGCAGTTGAGCCGAAATTTCTGATATGAACAAAAGATAAAAAAAAACTGTCATGCTGACCAGGTCCCATGGAAGAGGAAACAAAATGCTTCCATGAAGAACTAAAACTCAAACTAAAGATTTCCAGAAAATCAAGGTATTTTCTTCTTTCCAACAGGAGCAACTCCTTGGCTCATTAGACAACTTTCAACCAGAACTCCCTGATACTGAAGATGATGAGGTAAAATTGTTGAAACATTCAGTATAATATGTTTGTTTACCTGGTGAATTCATCATTCAAAACTTTGAAAGATTTGTGGTATTCTTCAAATGCAGGATAGATGCAAGTTTATGTTCAATTATCTTTTTGCCTTAATTGTTTAGTTGTTAGTATATATAAATATTAGTCATTGTCTTGTGCTATAATATTTTACATGTTGCCATTTTTGAAAAAGGTTGCTTCTTTGAGTTGTACACCCATGAACCCTTTAAATTCCAAGAGATCATTTCCTTGTAAATTAGTTACGAGAATGTGGTGTTAGGTCAAGATGACAACTTCTACCTAATAAGTCTGAGTAATCTCATTTCCTTTTTGCTGAATAATGTATGAATACTATGGTGAGAAGTTACATGTTAATCACATCTGGGAGTTGAAGGGCATAAAAACCTCTGCTGTAACATAATTCTTTACCAATTCACTTGTAAGTCATAAAGGATTGATATGTATAGCACATTTCAACAAAACTGTTCAATGAGCACAATATTAAGTCCTTTGAACTGTTATTTTCCCTCTTCTAGTGTATTGTGTGCAATAGTGCTAAGGCCATCATTCAAACATATCCTTGCAAACACCGAGTTCTTTGTCGTCGCTGTTTTGTCAGAACACTGCAGGTGGCTGTTAACGACCTCAATCTTCCCTTGAAGTGTGTGGTTTGTCGTGCAAGGATTCAAACCTTGGACAGAGATCGTCATGAAGGAAATCCAACTTTGGCACTGCTAGGAGCAAACATTTTGTTTTAAATTTGTTTGAGTTTGTCAAATTACTTCATAATGTTTGTATTAGTTATTTTGAAAGTGTAGCTAATCATATCCTTGTTCAATAAGCTGGAAGATTTTTTTTCTTCAGAATGTGCAGCAGTAAATTTATAATTTAATAAGCTATTTCACTTTATATGAAGTAATGGGGTTACTCATTTATTCCCTAGATATTGTTAAAGGGAGGCAACTTGCTAAGTTGCATTATTCTAGACTTTAGTAGAACTTCAATTAAAGTAATCAATAGCTTTCAAAGCTTGTTGTTTTTATGGCTCTCAATGAAAAAATGAGAGAAGAGCTTTGAAAACAGTTACAGAAACCCCCCACTGCTTTAATTTTTAACTCCTTTTCATGAGGATGCTACTCAATACATTAAAGTGCGCATCAAATTGCCAGCATCTTGGGCTAATAATATATGTTGTGTGTTCCTTTTCTCAGGTCAGAGGTGTGGTCTATAAAAATAATTTGTCAGTTATTCATGGCCCACTCTTCATTCTGTTTGGTAGTGAGAATAACTATTTTGACACAAATATAGCATATGACAAGGACTGGGCATTTACAAGATAGATTTATAACATTAGGCTTTTTTTTATTACATGTAAAAGTTGATATTTTGCCATTGAGATTAAAGACTCCATATGGATGCTTGGAAAAGTGTGTACAAGAATAAGTTACTGATAGATTTCAAATTCACTCTAGACACTTGACATTGTTGTTCTGCAGAGAATATATAGGAGATTGAAAAAGTTTAGGAGCTTTTTGTATCATCATGAGCTCATAGCTGTCATATTCAAGCTTTATTAAAGGTCCTTAATTTGTCTCTCAAGACCCTATATTCTGTGTTACTACAAATTACAGTTGCTACTTTGCACTCATAGGCTTGAAAAGCAGTTTTAGTCATCCAGTTTTGTGGCCCCTTAACCTTTTGACCCCTAAGAGTGACCAGCATCTAATTTCCTCTACAATATCACCCCTGAATCACACATCAAGGTCATGAGAATAAAGGAAATGATCACCAACTAAAAAAAAGGCATTGATTGTTACTCAAATTCTCTTTGTCAACACCTTTGCAAATGTATAAAGAACAGTATGAAGAATATGTATCCTGATGTTATGGTGTCAAAGGTTAATTTAGAAGGCAGATAATGTAATTTACTGAATGAAAAACTAAAATATGAAAGCCAAGGCTGGAATAGAGTGTAACTCTACTGCCATTTTTTGTATGTAAGATTTTGCATGATTGTTATCAGGCATTAAAGTAATGATTGTACTTTTTCTGTAATTTATAATAAACTGTCTTTTTTAATTTCATGTCTTGTTTAGTAGTTGCCAAATGTTTACAATTCACAATGATTGGTGGGTGGGGGGGCAGCAGCACAATTTCAAGTAAAAAACTGTGGTTCTGTGTTGGTGGCAGGTATTGCATGGTTCCATCAACTGGGTTGATGATGTAAATTGGCCACTGTAAACAGTTAAGAGTTTCTAAAACAGCCACTTTGGGTATTCCACATTTGTCAGAGCTAGTTGATTGTGCCTTGTGGAGCTAATTTTCTTCACTTTAAAATCATGAAAATGTTATCTACTCAAATGGACAAAATAATTTCCTTTGATGGGTTTAAAATTAAGTAACTTATCACAACAAGCCTATGTTACTAAAACTGGAATTCCAATGTTTGTTTTGGGTATGTTCAAGTCTTTACAGTATTTTAAGTGTGAAGTATCTCACTCCTTTCCATTGAATGCTCCAATTGGCACTCTGCAGCCCCACCCTTTTGATGTCTTTGATAGCTCTGCTTGCTCATTAACAAAACAGCCTCCTCTTCCTGAATGGATTGAATCTCTTCACTGTTCTGCTGTTCCTAGCACTCTGGTGTTGACTCTGTTTGTCCATCATGTTTGAGTTTCTCTTCACCATCCCAAGCACCACCATCTCAATGTCCCTCCTATGACTTCTTACATACTGCAACATCATGGCTCAAATATTTTCTGTTACTCTATTCATTCTGATTCTTCCCCTTTTCACTTTCTGTTCCTCCACTCTTTGATTCTTCCTCTGTGCTTCCTCTGTTCCTATCTCTTTTTTGTCTCTTGCAGGTTAACATCTCTGAACTTTTAACCTTTTTAAAAGGCTCAGCAGTATCTGTTTTGGTTTCATTCTTATTTTTACCTGCAGTTCTTTTTGTTTTTGTACTTGAACTTTTCTCTGGTTTGGGTGTTCTTGAGTCATCTTGATTTTCTTCCCAAGCTAGTTCCCAGTCTTCATCACCAAATTGTACAGGGCTTTTGGATTTTCCTGGAGCCTGGTAACTGAAAATCATAAATCAGAGAAATTCCTGGAATCACAGTCTCAAGTGAAAAGTAAGTAAAATACTTTAAACTTGTAAAAATCATCTGGCTATCAATTTTCATATCTAGCATTGACAAAATAAACAGAAATCAGGCAAAGGAAGATAAATTAGTGAAAAAAATATTTTGGGGGAAAAAAGTTTCTGCGATTTTGGTGATGTTGCTTTACTTCTGACATCTATATTTGCAGAAATAACCATCAGGATATAGTAATCTTCTGTACGACCTCTGTTTTCAATCAACCATTACACTCCCACAGTTTCTTTACAATCAGTCATACATTTCTTTTCAAGTTTTTGTGAAAATTTGGTTTTGATTGATGATAACCTCCTAGATGATACATTCTCTTATTTTCTCATCAAGGGTCTGCTATGTATCAATGCTAATGATCCTTTACCTCCCATAAGTGATTAACAAATAATTTCTTCCTACAATATCCCTGTACATTATTCAGCGAGCAGGTAATGGGAATACTGAAACTCATGTGGAAGTTATTGTCTTCATCTGACCTAAATTCTCATAACTTATTCTCACAGAAATGTGAGACAGTTTGAGGGGAGAACAAACAATTGGATCTTGGGAGTGAAAGGGTTAATTAAGAGACAGTAGGGATCCATACAGGTAATTTTCTAAAGTTGTCAGCTGGGCAAGTATGTCAGAAAAGATAGTTGCCCTGGCTAGATTTAACTTGCCTGTATATCTGCCTGTAACATTGCATTATAAACTTAAGAAAGGCAATGACAAGTACAAGATAAATGGGGCCATAATTGTACCACAAAAATTGGCTTCCAACAATAAAACTTTGCAAACTAAAATCCGCTTTTTTTCCCTGGTAAAAGCACTTTATTGTTGGTGGAAGGCTAAACCACAGGTAAGTTTTGGATGTCAAATAATAATAATTTAATAATAAAAAATTTCCAAATTTAGTTGTCCATCAGACAAATTTTTGTGTTATCATACTTGCCTGAATGATGTTATAGTTGTCTCGGGTGACCTGACAGCTGCTAATATGGATCACTGAGTTATCATATATCGGTCACTCCTGAGAATGGACAAGCTAAACCTTATTACTAATCTCTGACATCTTACCCTGGTTGAGATACATCTAAAGGGATTTTGGACAGAGTAATACTGATGGATGGAATTTTCCTTGTCACTTGAAGCCTGAAGATACAAATCACAACAATTAACCTTTGTACTGTAACATCTTAACTTTGACTTAATGATAAAGAGTATACTCAAACCCAAAAAACAGGCTGTAGTGAAGTCAGATGATGCTAAGTTGTTTACAGGGGTGATATTGTGAGGAGAAATCTGATGCTAGTCATTCTTAGAGGTAGATTGGTTAAAAGGGCCCATGGTTGTTAATTGCTAGTCAGAGATTGCTGTTAAATGGATTCATTGATAAGAGAGGTAATTATACTCACTTATCAAGATGATCCTCCTTGGGTTCCCATGTATCTTGAATTCTGATTAGAGAAAAATGGATGATTGCCCGTTGTATTTGAACATCAAGGAAAAATACAACTGCAGGAAAGGCATTGCTCAATGTACACTTACCTGGAGTAAAACAGCTTGTTTACCTGGTGTAAACCCTGGCATGGAAGTAGCATTATCAGAAAAAAAGAAATAAAATTAATGCTAACAAAAAAAGTTACCAAGGCAAAGTCACAAGACAAAGCTGAGGCATCTCTCTAAGAAATGCAGGTAATTTAGTGTTTAACAACTGAGTTGAAAACATAAATTGGCCACTGTAAAGGGTAAAAGAAATATTCAAAGAAATTGAAATGAAATGTTCTGAGAAATGCTCAAATTTAGAAGAGGAAAGGCAATAAGAAAGATCATATGTTGTGACATGGTGTAGTTTGCTTAAACTTAGTTATTTTGTTTGAGTAAAATATCAGTTAAAGGCTCAGAAAATTATTTCAGACCATAACTTTGAAGGAGCAGAGTAGGAGAACATGTTCTCTGTAAATGAACCAACACATCCATATATAGCAGCATCATAGAACCTATATCAATTTTTACCTTTGTCTTTCTTTTTATAATTTCAGCGCATGTAATGGTTTTGGTCACAGTCGGTCCTGATCCAATCAAAACTATTTTCTTGCCCTTCTTGTTCTTTGTCAAAAAAAAGAAAGAAAGAAAACAGTAATGTTGTTTAAAATAAAGGGGTTCTATGTAAGTTTAGATATCAAGTCATCAATTATTGTGACAGGATTTCATAGCTCCACTTTTATAACAGGGCTTAGAGTTATAAAAGGGAAGGGACTGTAATATGTATTCTGTCCTGAGGCTGCTGAAAAAAGAGACAGAAAATATCTACTAAGGCAACATAACTTTGAGGGCAGCAATTCATCTTTGACCCTCTCCCTTAAAACAGTGTATTCAGTTTATTACCCCTAAGACTGGATATGAGCTTTTTTATCCCTTCAACTCCCATACATGATTAACATGTTACTTCTCCCCTTGATATCCATATGTTATCCAGCGAACAGGTATTGAGAATACTCAACCTATCAGGTTATGCGTAACAGCTGGAGGGGATAATTAACAATAAGAATCAGATCTTGGGAGTTAAAGGGTTAAAGCAAATCTGTCCTTTTGTTGCAATAAACAAACACCAACCCTAAAATATCTTAGTTCATGTTGTCCTTGAGCAAGAAATAATCCTTATTAAATTTCAGGTCAATACCTGCAGTAGTCTAAAGGCTTGAGATATGATGTTCCTTATCTTGCTGCCACTTTTGACCTGAATATCACACGCTTCTTTCTTCTCCTCGCTTTCAGAGGCGTGACTGCTGACTTTTGTATAGTGCTCCATCTGCTATGTCCTTCCTTCTCCCAATAGAGCAGCTATCATTTGCAAAACTGGAAGTCTACGATTTCTTCCAAATATATGGTTTGACCTCGCCAAGTTAGACACAAGTTTAGAAAATCGCGGGCCCTCGATGCATAGTGTAATTCTGTGGTGTATGATTAAACAGAAAGTCCTCTTCATCCGGGTACTTTTTTGTTCAAATTTCGTTGCATTGTGGGTTTCTACGGTGTGCGAACGTGAAAAAAGATGGCCGCTTTAGCTAAAGCCCCGACTACACATGAAGGTAAATGTGTCTCTTTTACACTCCAAGAAACTATACTATGCCAGCTTTATCCATTGCCTGAGTAACTGAAGTACATTTTCTTCCTTTCAGAAATCGAGTGGCAAATTCAGCAATTACAAGCTCAACGATCGAATTTACCCAAAGTTGACATCGGTGAAAAGGTTAGATTTTCCTGACGTACTCTTTTATCCGCGTCTACTTTCGACTGCGTTATATGAGGAGATACATTTTAAATGTTATGTTATTTGCCTTCTGTATTTTTTTAATGTAGATATCAAAAGCTTTTTAGGCTTCACCATCATAAAGTACCTCAACTAGTATGATAAAAATGTAATTCAAGAAGATGATCGACTTGTTTGCATTGTTGGTCATGTACCTTTTAGGTTGGGTTAGCTTCTGTTGGCGAAGGAGGATATGATGTCGACATTTATGGTGCGGGTGGTGGCAGGTCAGTGTCCGTTATTTCTCTCTCGATAATTATTCTTGTATGTTACAAATATTATCAGTGACTGTACTAATTGAAAATTTTCAGTCGCATTATCCCGAATACATTTTTTTGTATCACGTATCATTAATTTTCCTGTGATAAATTTATTTCCTTTATGCTGCCAGATGTGATCTCTCTGTTTATTCATATTCATTTCAGGTTTGAAGGCTATTCAATCGATATTGCTCCAAATGAACAAGAAGAGGTGAGCATCCTTAAATCTAGTATTCATTAAATATTTATACTGAGAATGTCTAACAACCTGGTTTCAGGACCCCATAGATTTGTTGCAGTTATCCTTTTGCTTAAGTACTAGTACTGCTCACATCTATTTTTTTAAATTTTGAAGTATTTTTTTATTTGTTTACAACAGGATGACGATGATTACTCTACCACTATTATGCATCCTTCAAGGAACACTTATACAGCCCCTACAGCACTGTTAAATGATATAGCCAGGTCCTCTGAGAATGTAAGTAAACCTCAACAATGTTTGTCATTTGTCTCAAATCTTTTCATAATTTTATAAGTAGAGATTCATTGAGATAGTACTATGAATGGAAGAAGAGTTAACCCTTTAACTCCCAAGATCAGATTGTAAATTCTCCCCTGTATTTAACACACGATTCCTTGTAAATAAGTGATGAGAATTTGGTAATAGATCTAGATACAACTTCTTCCTGATAAGTTTGAGTATTCTCATTACCTGGTGGCTGGCTAATGTAGGGATGTTATAGGGGGAAGTTACAAGTTAATCACTTCAGGGAGGTAAAGGGCTAATCTTGACTGTACTGTATGACATAGGTATATAAAAAACAGCAACAATAATATAGCGGCTGAGTAAGGAATCAATTTGACCTTTTGACCTCTGAGAGTGACAAGTATTTAGTATTTCCTTACAGCGTCATCCTCAAATCAGACATCAAGGTCACAAGATTAAAGGAAATGATCATCAGCTTAAAAAAGTCAGGATTATTTAACAATTTCTCCTAGTCAGCACCTTAGGAAATGTATAGAGAACAGTATGAAGAATATGTATAACTGATGTTAATGTGTAAAAGCTTAGAGAGAAGTGAGTTTGATAGAAAAGAATCACAGGTTCTTCTATCTTCATTGATTACAGGTGGATCCGTTTGCACAACACAGGCAGCAAACCATTGCTGAGCGTGAAGATGAATACAGAGCAAGGAGAAGGCAGATGGTGATATCACCACCAAGGCATGATCCTTTTGCAGATGGTAGGTGTTGTAGATTGATGGATTATTTTTAAGTATTCTTTATGCCAGTGTTTCTTGTGTATGTGTTTAACCTTCTACAAAGTAGTCAAGTAGGAGGTAAAGTGTGGTTGGAATTGATGATTTGCCCACAGTGATGATGGTCACATAATTTTAATTAAGCATGAGTAGAGAAGAATGATAATTTTTTGGAATTCATTACAACATCCAGTTGCAACTTTGTTTTGACTTGACCTAGAAATGTTTTATTAGGTATCTAAATTAGTTATTCAATTGATGATCAAATTCAGTTCTATTTATTGACTGATTTACCTGTTAGCCGTTATATACAATTTTGCAGTTTTCAAAGTTTTGTCAGTAGTCCTATGGAGACAGACAAATTAGTGACATAAGAATCATTGAAGGATTCTTGTTGACTTAAATCAAGTCTTCCCCCTAAGCTTTCTTAGCAGTATTCCTTTAAAGAATTGGCAAGGGAGCTTATTGCCAAGAATCTGTGCCTCCCACCCTTGAAAAAGGCTTAATTTTTCAAGTGAAGTAGAATTTTCCAGCTAAGTTTGAACAAGGAAATTATCCTTTGTAACCAACACTGTTGATCCCATTGGTCTCCTATGATTCCTTAAGCTGCCTCAAATTTACTAAGCATTGCTTTTTTCATCTGTGAATATACCCTAAAGTAGATGTTTGGCTAATGCAAAACTTTATTTGGTTCTTTGCAAAAGGCTGTCTTGCCTATGCAGTGTTGTTAGTCTGGCTAGAGCAGTTTTTGATTGGCTGTTGCAAAGAAAATTACACAGTGTATCAGTTATAGCTTTTTTGTAATTCAACAGTAATTTACTCAGATTATTAGAGAATCTGCTCTTCATACCAAAAGTTAAAATCCAGTGGAATTTTATTTTTGAAAAAAATTATGTGCCACATGTTTTTTTGATATTTTGTTTTCCATGTGCTGGTAGACTAGATTTTTTGGTCATCATTTGTCATTCAAAAACTGCTCTTTGCTTTTATGATTTAAGTAAGAACTGTTTACTTCATTTTACTTACTCCTAAACCCCTTTTCTTCATTCAGCGGTGATGGAAACTTCACTCATCAACTGCGCAAAATTAATGCAAGAGTATTTGTCTCAATGTTGGTTATTTATAGATACTATTGTTCAAGTTTTATTTTTGGTACAAGTCTTGTGGAACAAAATGTCATTACCAGCATAATTTCAAGGCTATATAATTTTTTGAATGACAATGTTTGAATATTTCAATGTTTGCTAAATTGTAGCTGTTCAAGTTTGAAAACAGTTTTCAAAGTGTTATACTTGCAAGTAATTTGAATTCTTGATGGTTTCACAACAGTGTTTCATCATCAATACATGAATCTATGTGCAAAGGGAATTCTTTTTTTCCTCAAAATTATATAATTTTTACAGTACTCTGTATTCTGAAATGCAAGGTGAATTTTAGTAATCTTCACTAAAAAAAAAAGAAAAAATAGAAAAACAGATGTAGTCAGACAAAATTTTGTACTATCATGCCAAAGCTAACTTCATCCCTTCCAAAATTAGTAAATTAAAAAAAAGAGGCATTGTGAAGAGGACACCTTTCCTCAAAATCCAGGGAAAGTTTATTGAAATTTCATATTTGTAGAGTGTAGAATACACAGTACATACTTAGAGTAAGATGCCCTAAGCCAGTACTGATGCTACACAGTGGTCGATTACTGACCTCTGAAGAATTTTTAAATAGGAGAAGTGCTTGAGTTTATCAACTAACTCGATGCCATGCCAAGATGCGACGTCAGTGACTCATCTCAAGACTAGCCATTGGGTTGGTGTTACCTTGCCGCAGCCACCTTTCCAGACAAAAAAAAAAACAATTGTACATGTGTGGTGTTATTGTGTCTGTTTGTCATAATCTGTCTTTTGCAACTAGCAGCTTAGTTTTAACAAATGCACTTGCTGGTTTCTGAAAGTCCTAAAATGGCAGTTACAATTGAACTGTTTCCATGGATTTGAAGAGACTGGCAATTGTTGTGTAAGAGTAGTAGTTGAAAGAATTTCAGAGGATTGAATTGCAAGAAATTGCATGGTAAATTTTTGTGGTAGGATTTTCTAGTCTTTTGTACCTCTTCATATTGTTAGCTAAGCTGCTGTGATAATTTTGTTATTTTGTCATGTGCTGTTGTGTTTGGTAATTTGAAAGCAGCTAATATTGTTTCTGTTTTTTATTTTTCTCTTGTAAGGTGGCAAAACACCTGATCCATCCCATTTGATGAATACCAGGACGTATCAGGACATTATTCAAGAAACAGCTCTTCAGAGAGAGCAGGTTTGTATTCTGTGCACTTTACATAGATTATGGACTAAATTAATGATATTTTGAGCTGAAGAAGGAATAGTCTCATTTTTGTGAAGGGCTCTTTTTTGTTAATTTTTGCTGTATTATAGATTTTTCATTAGTAATGTTGGGCTTTTTTTCTTAATGATTTGTTACATAACTTCTGTCATTGAAACCTTCTAAATGATGTTCCTTCAAGTTATCAAGTAGGACGGTCTTTGTTTGTGGGAAAGGTTAGAACAGCTAGTGATAAATTTTGTTTGTCTTCTTTCTAGGCGCAAATCTTTCATGATATCAGGAACCAAGCAGCCTCAGGGGAATTGCAAAAGGCTCAACCAGCTGCAGCATCAAAACCAGGTTTGTTTCTGTTAACCTTTCAACCAAGATTTGATTGTGAATTCTCCCCTCTAGCTGTGACATATTTCATTGTAAATTAATTACAAGAATTTGGTGTTCGTTCTATATAACAACTTTTACCTTATAACTTTGAGTGTTCTCATTACCTGTGTGTTGGTTGAAGTTACATGTTAATCATCTTAAAGAGTTAAAGCTTTTCAATCCCCTCTCCAAGTAGTAATATTGCAACAAGATAACACTGTACTTTTTATGATTGTTGGATATTTATCTTCTCTTTTTTATTTTTTTATTTTGGGAAGGAAGGGAAGAAACATGTAAAATAGGTGCAAGCAGCTTGCTTAGCTGATACTAATAAAATGTTGAATATGAGTTGTTTGCAGTTTAAACACTCAAGTGGAATTGTGTTTCATTTCATTTCAGAGAGGAAGCGCCGCAGATGGGATCAGCAGGCTTCTGGGGATGAAACACCAGCCAAGAAAAAGTCTAGCAGTTGGGATCAGGCTGAGGTAGGAAAACTTGCTTCTCAGAGATGTCAAACTCTTTTTTCCTCAGGATACATCTACGAGTACTGGTTTCATGTCCTTAAAGCAGTATATAAATCAAAGACAACTCAATTCTTGTACTGTTTATGAACCCTGCAACCAGTCTTTAGTCAGCTTTGAAGGCAACAAATGCAGCCATTTCTTTCTCAGATAAAATTTTAAAACCTTTACTTGCTTTCATTACAGATGGCGACTCCTTCTGCCAGTCGCTGGGATGAAACTCCTGGGCGTGCAAAAGGCTCAGAAACACCAGGTGTTACCCCCCACAGGCCTGGCTCTGAGACACCAGGAGCTACCCCTAGCACCAGGATATGGGAAGCTACACCAAGCCATGTGACCCCTGGACATGCCACACCTGGACATGCCACTCCTGGCGGCAATACCACACCAGGTAAAGTCTTCTTTTTGTGTGCTCAGGGCTCATATATTTATATATATATGTTCTTATTTTGGGTCAACTATTGTTAATTTCTAATGGCTTTTGCTTGATTACCAGGCATTTCATCAACCAGGAGAAATCGCTGGGATGAAACTCCCAAGACAGAAAGAGGTTTGTTGTTTTCAGTATGTCAATAATCTCCTCTTTCCTGGGCAGTTGTTGATTTTGAAGGGAAGTGTCACCAGTTTTAAGTTCTTCTGTTTTTACAATGACAGCTGCGGCTTTTAAACATGATCTTGATCTCTTGACTTTTTTCCATTTACATTATGCACAATGAAATAACTAAATTTCCTGAACAGTGCAAGTTCCTTTAGGCTAGCAGGATCACAATACATTACCAAAACGTTAGGGAGTAATTATTATAGAAAAGATTGTAGTATATTGAGACAATTGATCCTCCTTAAACTTGGAAAATTGAACATAAGATATAAATGAAAAATAAAATGCTGATCATTTAAGAAAACTTTTGTTTATGGACGGCTTTTCTCCTCAAAGGTGAAACTCCAGGTCATGCCACTCCAGGTCATGCCACTCCAGGCTGGGCAGAAACTCCTAGAACAGATCGCACTGGTGCCGAGACACCTGGAGCCACACCTACTCCAGGAAGTAAGCGACGTTCACGATGGGATGAGACACCTGCCAGTCAAATGGGTGGCACCACCCCAATGATTGGTACCAGTGGCGTGACACCAGCTGGACCTGCAGCCATGCAGATGCAGACACCTACCCCAGGACAGATGGCTATGACACCAGAGCAGATGCAGGCATATCGCTGGGAGAGGGAAATTGATGAAAGGAACAGGTACCTTTCTGATGATGAACTGGATTCGTTTTTCCCAAAAGAGGGATACAAGGTATGAGTGTTTTGTTCTCATTTTGGATTAATTAGAGGGAAAAAAGGGCCTTTCCCTTTCTTTTTTGCTTTTGAGCTTCACAAAGAAACAGACTATTCTTAAGCAAATTTGCAGTCAATTCTGTGGAATGGTGTGGACTTCATTTGAACCAGTCTTCATTCGGTAGCTGGTCAAATGTTTCACTCTTATTGTTTTAAACATGTATTAGTAATGCTTTCAAAACTTGTGGTCCTTTTCCAATGAATGTGCAATAAAATGACACAAAAAGACCCTAAAATCTATAGGTGAGGAGAGAACAAGACTTGACTGCACTTCAAAAATTACTGGTTACCACCAGTTTCTTGTTTCTTTCAAACTTTCTATAAACCTGGGCCAGGTTGTTTAAATTGGGGTTAAGATAACCCAGGGTTGGTGTGAAATCTTTTTCCAGATCTGAAAGCTTTAAAAGAAAGTCCAGAAAGAAAGAAAGTTGAACAACTGGGCCCTGATGATAAACATTTTATCTTTCAGATTCTTGAGCCACCTCCAGGCTATCAGCCTATCAGAACTCCAAGCCGTAAGCTAACAGCCACTCCCACCCCTATAGGGGGAAGTGGCTTTTTCATCCAGGTATGTGATACTGACTTCCTTTCTTGTCATCCACACTATCCATTTAAAATGTTGGAAAGATTATATGGCTTGTTGATATGATACCATCTCATCTCTGTCATGTGGAATTTATTCAAGATAACGCTTATGCTGTTGTTGAAATATTTCACTTGTGACTAATTGTTTTCTTTTTATTTGTTAATGCAGCAAGAAGACAGATCAGCCAAACTGGTTGAAGATCAACCACCTGGTAACTTGCCCTACTTGAAACCAGATGATGTACAGTACTTTGATAAGCTGCTGGTAAGTTGAAAAAGCCCAAGACTTAAAAGGTTTAGACATATAAGAAGTAGCTCCCACACATTTTACTGAAAAAAAGAACTGTTAGTTGATACCTTTTTTAAAATCTTATTATTTTTCTGCAGGACAGTATGTATATTGTTTATTGAATTTCTGTGCTGATGACTTGAAAGAGGCAAGAGAGTGTACAATAATGGTTATGAAGTAAAACACGCCCAGGAGTATTTCGTTCTGTTTAGAAAAAATGACTAAATAATAGATTTGTTAATTTGTTTAAACTGTGCTGTGTCTCACCTAGCCTCATGATATCAACAGGTGGATGTTGATGAGAGCACTCTTAGTCCAGAAGAGTTGAAGGAAAGAAAGATCATGAAACTCTTACTGAAGATTAAAAATGGCACTCCACCCATGAGAAAGGCTGCCTTGCGTCAGATCACAGACAAAGCTCGTGAGTTTGGAGCAGGTCCACTGTTCAACCAGATCCTACCTCTTCTTATGTCTCCTACACTTGAAGATCAGGTGACGTAAAATTTGAACAAACTTCTGGTTTTGTTCTTTTGATGCTCAGTGTGAAATGGAATTTATATTTATTTGGTGAAGTTGGGCAGTTCTTTGCATGCACTTGTATTTTAGGCATAGTTTATATGATTTAAAAACAGTTTGATGTGGGTTCTTTTGGTTAATTACTTTGGTAACATAGCAGGATCAAAGAAAAAATTGATCTATTTTAAAATCATTTTAAACTAAAAAATAAGTACTTAGACTTCCTGATAGTAATGCCCTCTGTCCATTTACCACTTGCTTGCTTGGAAGAAAATAAATTCCCAGATACTTTGTTAAATTGTGTACACACTAAAATAGCTAGCATGCACTCATCTGTACATCTTTACATGAAGTCTGAACTCTTAAGCCTGAATTTTTGTTAAATGTAAAGATTTTTTAAAAATTGTCTATAGCTATCCTTGCTCATTTTTACTTTTGATGATTCAATCATTTTCATCCCTCTGATGAAGGAGTTTTTTTGTTTACAGGAACGTCATTTGTTGGTGAAGGTCATTGACAGAATTCTGTACAAACTTGATGATCTTGTTCGTCCATTTGTCCATAAGGTAAGCTAAATGGTTGCTATGCTTCAGTGCATCTTTTTCTTAGGTAGTATGCTCTTTATATTCATGCCATTTACTGAACTTGGCCTTATCTCTCGCAGATCCTTGTGGTTATTGAGCCACTTTTGATTGATGAAGACTACTATGCTAGAGTGGAGGGACGTGAAATTATTTCCAACTTGGCTAAGGTTAGTAGAGGATTCATTTTTGTCTTTCTGAAACAATATTTTTTTCTCTTTTAGGGTGGTATAAGAGCATTGTTTTTTCTTTTCCATTTCAAGGAAGGTGTCTTCCTTCACAGAGACTTAAACAACTCATAAAGAGAAGAAATCGGCTTCTGCCATAATCAAGCCATGTTGAATATTGTACAATTTACTAATGTGTGGCCTACAAAGACTGATCAAATGTCATGTAACTATGAAGTGGAAAAGATGATTCACTATATTGCTAATGTATATCTGTCTTTTAGGCTGCTGGTTTGGCCACAATGATCTCTACCATGAGACCTGATATTGATAATATTGATGAGTATGTCCGTAACACAACAGCAAGGTAAGCTCCATACATATTAGTCAATAAAAGTTCGTGTTTAGTTTTTTATCTCCAATCATATATGTTGATGTAAATGTACATGTACAACTTACATGACTGTTGTGATCTATTCATTGCAGAGCTTTTGCAGTTGTAGCTTCAGCTCTTGGCATTCCTTCCTTGTTACCATTCTTAAAAGCTGTATGTCGCAGCAAGAAATCATGGCAAGCACGTCACACTGGAATCAAAATTGTCCAGCAGATAGCCATTTTGATGGGATGTGCTATCCTGCCTCATTTGAGAAACTTAGTGGAGATTATTGAACATGGTAAGAGAGGTTGTACAGAAGATTTTAAGATTGAAAGCTCAAAAGAGTGACTGACACAATATATAGCCCTATGTAGTACAAAATTTTTAGATAGCTTGATATCATTTAACTATCTTAAACTATCTTATCCACACTTATTGTGCAGTATAAGCAATAGCTTTCTTCTAGACTCTACCAACAAAATAGTAAAAGTGAGTTACATCTATCAAAGAGACCACATTTAGAACATAGAGATATTGTCCACTGTATTGTGGAAAGAGTAGATAATGTCTGGACGGAAAAATGTAATAGCATAGCTACTGATGAACATCCAGAAAGGACAAAAATGCAATTTCTCCTTTCAATTTTACTACATTATCCTGCAAACCATGATGGGAGCAGGCAGGCTTTCAGGCAAGGGTTTTGTTCTCGATTTTTCACCAAATTATTTAATCTGAGTTACAAAGAAATGTTTACTAGTAATGCACCAAGTAATACCTTAATGGGTATTCTGTGGATGAGTAACACTCTTGAAATATATATCTTGGCTGCTTTGTTAGGTTTGGTTGATGAACAGCAGAAGGTACGAACTATCACTGCTCTTGCCTTAGCTGCCCTGGCTGAAGCTGCTACACCCTATGGTATTGAGTCCTTTGATAGTGTCCTGAAGCCCTTGTGGAAGGGTATAAGACAACACAGAGGAAAGGTAACTTTTTAAAAGAATGTGTCACACAGCTTAGTGGAGAGTCTTGGATTTTCTAGAAACTACAGAAATTTAAACACTTATAAGGCCTCTAATAAGCATAGATAATACAGATGAAGTGTTTATAAAATAGCAAGATGTCTGGATGTTTTTCCAAGGTGCAAGAAGTGGTCAATTCTTGTTGAGATCCAATTCTCCTGAAGTGAATATCTCTCAAATTTCCTTGGCCAAATGTTATTGTACAAGGTCTGAAAATTTTGAATTTGGGGTCAACTATTGATTACAGTGTGCATTAACTTAAAATCTTCTACACAGGCCTTGTGGTTTGGCTGAAAACTTTGAATCTGGAAAATGAAGATGTTGCACACAAAATCTTACCTTATTATTTCTTCAAAAGTAACGTATTTGAGAGAGACACTTTGCTGCCTTATCTATTCTGCATTTATCACTGTTTTGTGTCCAGAGATTTGGACGTGGGTTGAATAAAAAGGGTGAAGGTTTTTCATACCATTGCTTACTTCAAATGTGTTTTTGCAGGGTCTGGCTGCCTTTCTGAAGGCTATTGGATACCTTATTCCACTCATGGATGCAGAGTATGCCAACTACTATACCAGAGAAGTGATGCTGATCTTGATTCGTGAGTTTCAGAGCCCTGACGAAGAAATGAAAAAGATTGTGTTGAAGGTAAACAGCTAAAGAATTCTTGTTTTTCTTCAAATCAGGTTAATTGGTTAACATACTTCAAAAATGGTCCACCAACTTAACGTTGTGAACTTTGTTATAAACCCAAGTGCAAGATAACAAAACAGAAAATCAAGTTGTATCACTGCGCATGTTTAGTAGCTGGCTAATATCCTTTTGGCTTGTCTGGTTTGCAGGTAGTGAAGCAGTGCTGTGCCACGGATGGTGTTGAACCGCAGTACATCAAAGATGAGATTTTACCAGATTTCTTCAAACATTTCTGGCAGCACAGGATGGCATTGGATAGGAGAAATTACAGACAGGTCAGTCAAGTTCATGATATGTATGCATTGTGCTCAAATTGTATTAAAAGTAAGTTAGCCAGAGTAGTCTGAAATTTAGGGTCTTGAAGAGTTAAATTTTTGTAAGCATCTTGTTATCATTGTTAGGAAAGTAATAAGCGTCTTAGAAACCTTATTTCTCGATCTTCTTTTCCTGTGTCTACAGCATCAACATAATATAAAACATCAGTTCTCACTTTTTTCTTTAAGAGAAGCTTTTATTTTAGAATGGGCTTTGTAATCCGTTTTCAAGCACCAAGTAATAATAATGTGTAAAGTATTCCAATCTCAGAATTAAAGTGACATTGTATATTTTGTATAATTTTGACAGCTTGTGGATACAACTGTGGAACTGGCCAACAAAGTAGGAGCATCTGAGATCATCAACCGAATAGTGGACGATCTCAAAGATGAAAATGAACAGTACCGAAAAATGGTCATGGAAACGATTGAAAAGGTAACTATTAACATATTATCTCTTACCACCCTAACGTCAGAAAGCCAGTTCCTACCATGTGGTTTCGAGTTAAACCACTCATTGAATTCCACGTACAATTTAGTGGCAGAACCGAAAACTTAACTCCAAAATTACACCAAATCTTTCGTTGTGTTTTTTTCCAACTCAAAACTAGATCACATGCCCCAAGCAAAATTACACTATATGTATTATGCACTCACACGTCCTAAAAGGTCACTGTCCTTCATACCACCATTTATGACGTTCTGTATATTGTTATTGTTTTGGTTCTTGTTTGTTTTCTGGGTGAGTTTGCGAAAAAAACTCTAATGGTTTTTATTTTCAGACCATGGGTAACCTGGGCTCATCCGATGTTGATTCCCGTCTTGAAGAGCAGCTTATTGACGGAATCCTGTATGCCTTTCAGGAACAAACTCAGGAGGTAATTACCTTTTTGTTTGTTTGTTTGTTTTGTTTTGTTTTTTGTTTTTTGTTTTGTTTTGTTTTGTTTTGTTTTGTTTTTTGTTTTTTCACTCCAAGAGTGACTACTGCACACACTCTCCATAGCATTTCGATACTCTGTCAAGAAAGGTAATGAGAACTTTAAAAACATAAATCAGCTAAGTTGTAGCCTGAGAGCAGGCGCTCGTTATAAGTGCTTCGGTACGACTGCTTCTTCGCCCGCTGGAAAGTATGGGGCGAGTGAGGTTTGCAAGAGGTCCAACACTGAAAATGAGCATTATTAGCGCCAGACTCCCGAAAAACCTCTCCCCTGCTGATCTCCAATCCTCCCGCGAGCGGAGAAACGCGCCTCTTGGAGCTCATTTGTCTCGATAAAACACCAAATTGTTTGAAACAGTAAACAAACAGAAAAATAAATATCAACTAGAAGAACTAGCTTTCGGTTTCTAAGGGTTGATACCTCAATATTTGTCCAGCAGAATTCTCATTTCTGCAAGGAAATTTGTGAACAATGGTGCGTTTTCTGTTATTCCACTAGCTTCTCGCCTAATCACATTTTCTCTCTAATTTTGTGTTGTGGCCTTTGTGTGAAAATGCTGGTTTTTTCGCTGAGCTTTACTCATTTGTTCTCCATAGGACATTGTTATGTTGAATGGTTTCGGTACAGTGGTGAATGCGCTGGGTAAGCGTGTTAAGCCATACCTGCCTCAGATCTGTGGTACAATCCTGTGGAGATTAAACAACAAATCAGCTAAGGTCAGACAACAGGCTGCTGATCTCATATCAAGGATCGCTCAAGTCATGATGACATGCGGAGAGGCAAGTTTCAGAGTGATATTCTTTTTGTACTTTTTTCTCTGTCTCTTGCTTTGTTGATGACTTCCACTCAGGTTGTCAAAACGTCAGTCACTATTACCGACAATATTCCCTTTCTGTACTACTCTTACCCTAACGTTCAGACTTCACTATCAACAAGTCTTTCATATGGTAAAGTCACTAATCTGCCTTACGCGAAGTAGAAGAAAGATTGGAGTACGCAAGGAAAAAGCGAAAATTTTTAAGCTTATTAAGTCCTGAAATCCGTGGAGAGAATAATTTGTAACGTCCTGTAATTTCTCTACATTGTACAGCTAACGGGCGAGCTATCAACATCAATGGTTACTTCTTAATAATTGGCTCGCAGGTCCCGATCGTTAGTATGATTGTTAATAACGCTATGAACATTTCCAAAACGTTTCTGTTATACCTTCTTTCTTTTTTTATTATCTGATGAAACATGGAATTGTCTTTGTCTACAGGAGAAGCTCATGGGCCACTTAGGTGTCGTACTGTACGAATACCTTGGAGAAGAGTACCCTGAAGTACTGGGGAGTATCTTGGGGGCCCTTAAGGTGAGCAAACACACTTATAGGAAATTATGGTAAAAGGATTGGTTTAACATCACCCAAAACAGTGAATTTTCTATGAAACCGCTTTAACTCCAGAAAGGTCTCCTTTACGTTGTTAATAATGTACGTGAAAAAAATTACGCGCTCTGATTGGCTGAAAACGAGTGCAGTCTCCTGTAACACGAGTGCAAAGTTGTAACATGAGTGCAAATTACAAATAGCGTGTTGTAGAAATTTACGTGTCTTGACTCTGCGATGTTTTTTCATGTACATTACTAACAGGTAATTAAATGATTTCTCGTGCTATGTGTTGTAATAAAGCACTTGTAAATTTTCCAAAGACAGCAAATTGCATTTGCCCTACGGCTCGTGAATTTTTGTTGTCTTTGAAAAATTTACTCATGCTTATTAACACCAAATTGCAATCGAAATCGTGTCATTACCTATACAAATTGCAAGTGTAAATTATAAATTTACAACTGTAAATTTCTGGCCATATCTTGTGCAAGTATAATTGTTGAGGAAAAGTTTGTAAGGCACAAAATTTGTCAAAATAGACTAATTCACCGAGACTCTTGTCAGTAAAATTTTGAACTGAGTAAGAGTAATTCTACTCCAGCGTCTTTTCCTGGACAAGATTCATCGACGAGTTTCTATTTCCAACATATTCGATGCAAAACTTTGCGCTCGAAAATTGCACCACTACTTTGGGAAGACTCTCTAATATGAATCCCCTTTACGTAGTTAGTTCATTTTCAAAACTGCTCAAGATTTACAGACAAAGAGATGGCGATCGACAAGAATAATTAGCTTTGGATTTTACAGTTCTGTTAGCATAAACGAACGGTAAATAGTTTTTAAAAGAGCGTTGCTTATGTGAAGACCGGATACTAACCACTAGTTATGTGTTTGTTTATAGGCAATTGTCAACGTTATTGGAATGAACAAAATGACTCCACCCATCAAAGATCTTTTGCCGAGACTCACACCCATTCTCAAGAACAGGTGCGGGTTTTTCCGTTTTATTGTTTTTCCTATCTTACCAAAGTAAGCACGACCTTGTAGCGCGAGCAATGACGAACACTGAAGCTTTGTTTAACGTTATTAAAAGCCACTGAAAAGTTTGCATATAAAAATGAGACATCGGATTGAAAAACTGATATTAAAACAAGCTGATATTATGTAGTGTCTGTTACTTTGAAGGAAATTTTCGCTTCACATTCTAGCACTTCGAAATATCGATGTTACAAAGGCTCATAGAGGGCTAGAAATCATCTTTACATCTGGTCTTTTCCTTCACCAGACACGAGAAGGTTCAGGAGAACTGTATCGACTTGGTTGGTAGGATTGCAGACAGAGGAGCAGAACATGTCGGTGCGCGTGAGTGGATGAGAATTTGTTTTGAGCTCCTTGAACTGCTGAAGGCCCACAAGAAAGCTATCAGAAGAGCTACTGTCAACACTTTTGGATACATCGCCAAGGCAATTGGGTAAGTTACTTACTGTAGAGCCCAGCCAGATCTTCAATTGTTGCCTAACGATCCTCACTACGTTTCATGTCTTCGCTTTTAAGTTAGTTGATACGTTTGGCTGCTTACTCATCGCGATATTTTTCTTCGTATTACGGGACATCCTGTAAAAGAAATCTTATCAATTTTTTCAGTGCATACGTCTGCTAATTTCCTATAAACAGAGGTTTGAAGGCGAAAACAAAAATAATTTAGTCAACACAAACGTTCTCTCTTTCGTGAAATTTTAAACATTTTCCATTTGTGAAGAAAAATCTCCGGCATACGTCCGGTTGTTTGGCCAGAGATTGCTCTTTGAGTTACACTAAGTCGCATAAACAAAAATTTAAGTGTTTTTTTGATTAATACCGACGTCTTCTTACTCAATTTCATGTTATCTTTACCTGTCGTCTAGTCCTCAAGATGTACTCGCCACACTGCTCAACAACTTGAAAGTGCAGGAACGGCAGAACAGAGTGTGCACCACTGTCGCTATCGCCATTGTTGCAGAGACATGCTCGCCATTCACTGTTCTACCAGCCCTAATGAATGAATACCGTGTCCCAGAGCTGAACGTCCAAAATGGCGTCCTTAAGTCACTGTCGTTCTTGTTTGAATACATTGGCGAAATGGGTAAAGATTACATCTATGCCGTGACACCTCTATTGGAAGATGCTCTCATGGACAGGTTAGACACACCTTTTTCAGCGTCGCAACGCGGATTCTCAGTGGTTTCATGCTTTGATTGAGCCTGAAAACTCATGCCATCCCCATAATCAATCAGACTGTGCTGTTCAAACACTTAATTTAACGGCGCTCTGTTAAGGGATATATACTAACAAATTGTTATTGGTTTCTGTATCCTCCAAACAGAAAATGGACCAAAATCTCCAGCTGAATTTAGGCGGGGTGGCAGGGTTACTTCAGTATAAGGATCGTCAACGCTCTGAGAGCCGACGGGGGGGTGGGGAGGGGCTCATTTACTTCCAGGTCATTGAAACGGGTGAGGGGGGCTTTGTAGAATCTCTAAATTTTAGACAGGGGCTTATTCAGCCGTTTACGGTATCTGCAATGACCCTCATAGGGTTAGATATTGTCAGTCTTCGTTCATAACAGAATGACCTTTTCATGTGTATTAGTTACTTATTCTTACGACTGGTCTTCCAATCCTTTCAGAGATCTGGTTCATCGCCAAACAGCGTGTGCCGCAATAAAGCACATGGCCCTGGGAGTGTCAGGCTTTGGCTGTGAAGATGCTCTCACTCACCTTATGAATTACGTGTGGCCCAACATCTTTGAGACGTCGCCTCATGTCGTGAACGCAGTGATGGAGTCTATCGAAGGCATGAGAGTGGCTTTAGGACCTTCTAAAGTACTTCAATATTGTTTACAGGTGAGAGGTTATAACTCCTTCGAAGTTTTTGTTTTTGACATGAGTTGAATCTGTTTACTACTACCAATCATTTCTCTTGCACCATGTCAAAAGGGTATTGTTTATTTCGATTAACTTTACATCTTCCATTTCATGTTACGTTGCGTTACATGTCGTGGCTTGTCGATAGTTTTGTGATGGATTGAAATCTTTGAAAAAAACTTTTCATCTTACGTTTTTATCGTTACATTTCCCAGGGAATGTTTCATCCGGCGCGAAAGGTTCGAGATGTCTACTGGAAGATTTACAACAGCTTGTATATTGGATCACAGGTAAAACTGTCACTAACGTTTACTCTTACCATATATCCTCCTCCGTCTTAGTCGTGTTTTCATTTATGTGTTATTCAGAAATTTTACCTATGTCACCGCTTTTTGTCTCCTTTTAGGATGCTCTGGTAGCAGCATATCCTACAGCACCCAGTGATGAAAAGAACCATTTCTCAAGATCCGAACTATCCTATTTCCTCTGATCTGAGGAAGATGTCAAGGCAATGGCTCTGCGCTGAACATTTTCTGACATAGCATCATCACGCACTTAGTAATTTAACATTTTATCCTTTGTAGAAAGCGTGCAAGTGCCACGCTGTACATAGCAGAACTTGAAGATTTTGTTTTAGGTTAGTTTGCGCTTTTCTTCGTTTCCTGCGTTCAGGGCTCGAAATTGAATTGAAACAGTTTGTGCATAAATACGAAAATGTAGTCGCAAGTTCTTAAAAAGTGGCAAAACTAATAATCCCTGTGAGTTATTGAATACACTAGACCAACAAATGATTAACAGGAACGTGATTTTATTACTTCATCAGCTTTCATGCCCTTAGTGCAATTATGGAACGTCTGTGCGTATTAATAGTTAAATATCTGCGTAGTGATCACAAATTTGGGCTTCCTTTGCTTTGGGAAGGTTTAAAGACGAGGTTACATTATTGAAAAAAATCAATCCCCATTATCTCTACTTAAAGAAAATTTGCCTCGCGAGTGTTAACCTAATGTATGCCTGGGCAAACAAACGTGCCTATGCTCATGGTATAGCACTCTGCCTGGTCGAACAGTTCGTCTTCCGGCTAAGCACGTGTGTGGATTCTTTAAAATTGAACGCGCGTTCGGTACAGCCCGCCTTGTTTTTTAACCACTGAGGCCTAGACTGACCCGGGTCGAATGAGAATTGCGTCTATTTTTCAGAGAAAGTTAGCACTTAGACCTAAAAGAAAAACGCAAAAATGCTGAAGATGGTATTTCTCGAGGTTGAAACTACTGAGTAATCCTCATGCACTCTCTGAACTATCTCAGACTGACTGATAAATTCTTAACTTCGCGCTCAGGAAATTTTTCGAGAGAGGTAGATCTCTGATTCATGTAAGCTTATCTGTGATTGAATACAGAATAAAACGTGTCGAAGTTGTGGTTCCTGTCACGTGTTGCATAGGAGCGCTTTTCGGGTGTGTTTCGTTAAACCAAAACCAACGTGATTACAACAACGGTGCAAAGCGAAAGTATGTGTGGAGATTGAGCAGAGTAACCTCAGGTAAACTACCTCCAGCGCGGCCCTTGGCCCGCTTTCCGAGACTTCAGTGAACGCCTTGTTCCAGCGCCTTGTTCGAAATGCAGTACGTATTTGGCGGTTAAATGTCCATCGTGAACTTGATTTAACCTTTGCAAGAGGTTGTTCGTAATGTTTGTTTGATTCAATTATTTCTAACCAACACAAGCTTTTCAGATGAGAGTAACTAATTGAGATCTTTCCTCTTGAAGGCTCTGTATAGGTTTTACTAATTTCTGTTGGGTTTTCACCAGAAATTCCTAGAATGGAAGTCAGTTTTGATGGAAATAATTCCATCTTTGTTACAAGGGAATGCGTTTAAATTTTCTCCGTCTAGGGGGTTCGTAACTTCTGTAGATTTGGGAATGCAATTTTCTGCCTTTCCCTCAATTTGTACTGAAATCCAAACAACATGTATGTAACCCCTCTAAAATATGCTCAACGGCAAGAGGTTAGGCAAATTAGTTGCCAGGAAAAAAAAAGAAAACGTGTTCTTTTTTTATTTACCGAGGCGAGCTTTTCATAGCAAAAGTAGCTCTAATTCCCAAGTGAATTGCAGTTCAATAAAAAAACAAACGTTTTCGTGTGCAGCTTATCCTCTGGTTAACCAGTCAAGGGGCGCTGGTTCTCAGCCTCCTTATTGTACCCCGAAAAACGAGGTTAGTGTATCGACTAACTCACCCCAGTCGTAAATCATGTGGGTTGAGCTACTACTAGAGCGCTCAGCTGAGCAGGGTTGCATTGTCTTGTAAATCCATCTCCTTTTGCCAATCATTCTCGCTGTTTTCAAGTGGTTTGCAGAAGAAAACCTGTTAACAATACTTTTCAACACCTTCAGAAGTATTTCAGCGATTTTCTGGCTCCAATTGAAAACAAAAGGCCTGGTCGCAAGTCATTGTATCCCAAGCCTCCGAAGCTTAGAATTTCCAAATTAAAACTGGGAATGACTCCCTGTTGCCAGGCAGCGATATCGAAAACGCAGTGAGACCACATGATCAGAATCATTGCCTAGCAACAGGCAGTCAACACCCGTATGTTTTATAAGTAAAGACTCCGCCATCTTTGTGAGTGTTGAGGAAAGCCAACTACAGGTTTAGGTTTGTTGTACCAAGAAATCAGCCATGGCTATGCAAGTGTCTTCACGGCGAGGAGAAGATTATGTAGAAAGTATATACAATTTGATTCCAAAGATTCAAGAGAGGCCTCCAAAGCCTTCAATGTAAGTTTTATTTCGACGCGGCCCTTGATCTTTGCCAAGTTTACCGCGATTGCGAAATTTTGCATCTTAACTTAAAATTTAAGTTTTCGTTACCTTTCGTCCCATTTTAAGCATGGCCTTGATCTCCTGAGTAATTTATTTCCTCAGGTATCGCTCTAATTTTGCTTCAACTGTGAAACAGGAGCAGAAGACGAAGAAGCAAAGCTCTAAAACCATGGTAAGCGTTTGTTGTTAAGAAATGACCTCCGTTACCATGTGAGTCTTGTGCAGTTGATCTGTGATTGTATGCAATCGTATTTCATCGTGTATGGACTGAAATTTTCCTCTGTCCTCCTCAGGGCCCAGCGAAAGTAGCTGTCACAGAACCCAAGGATTTTTTGGCTAAACATTCCAAGGAGTTCAAGCTGCCAGAAAGTAAGCAAAGATCTTTAAATAACAGTGATTAATTGCGAAGTTTACTTATTGACAGAGAAACCTTTTCAGTCATCAAAAATAGTTGTTTGTAGCTTTTAAAATGCTTTAGTGTAATCGTGTGTTGAGTAAGAAGGAGTAGTTTCATAATTCTTTCCGCAGTCTGTAGATCACACAAGCTTTTCCAGGAAACATATGAAGTCTTTATTAAAAAAGCTGTGTACAGAATAGCAGTCTCAATAATTAACTCAACTATTTCTTTTAGAAACTGACTTCACGTATCCTGATCATGATAAAAGACGTCCCCCAGTCCCAAAACACACAGAAAAACCTCTTATGGGATTACGTTCCACAAAAAATCATATCACAACAAATGCTGTGGAGAATATCATGTCTGTGCCCAAGATGCCTGAGAAAAAATTTGTGGACACACGTGGAGGAGCCACACATCAACTGGTCCCATCAGGTCTCACTCCAAAATATGTGAACAAGAAAGATTATGGCAAGACCCCAGCTTATCTGGAAAAAAGGAAGGCTGAAGTAGAGAGAGCACAGATGGAGTATGATGCTTATGTACAAGAGAGATGTAGACAAGGAGCAATGAAAAATTTGACAGAAGAAGAGAGGTGATTGACAAGGGTTTTTCAATACTAGCTATCAACTGAACTGATCGTTTCTATTGTAGGTTATGAGGTGTATTATTCCTTGCTGTGCATTGCTTCACTTTTCATGAATTTAGATTGGCTGCCCAATCTAAATTCATGAAAAGTTTTCAAATGATTCAGATGATGGACTTTATGTGAACTTGATTTGTTGAATTGAGTGTTACCTATGTGGCGTTATTGATCTAAACTGTGCATTATTTTTAGATTTAAAACGTCATTGAAAGTAGCTGGACACTTGCCTTTTGAAGTTCTAAAATTTTCATATATTTTTACCACTATATTGCATCATGTAATTATTTATTGTATTTATATTTTACTTAATTTTACAGGCAAGGAATACTTGATGGACTAAAAAAGAACTGGGAGGAACTTCACCACCAATATCAAGGACTTTCTGTCGTTACTGATACAGCACCAAAGAAGGCCCGAAAAGAGAGAATGGAGGCAGAAATGAAACAATTAGAAAGAGACATTGAAACCATTGAGAAACACAGAGTTATTTACATTGCTAATCCTTTCTTTTAATGAAAACCCAAGCGCCAGTTTTATGTCAACCTGATTCCTTTTTTTGGTTTTGTTTAATTGTGACCAGCTCGACACTTTTGAGGAAAAGTGGTTAAGAATTATCTCCAAGGTATATGTTATTTAGGTTAAATAGCAAAGAAAAAAGTTAAGAAACCCTGCCACTGGCAGTAACAAAATTGTAAATACAGTTGTAATCATGTACAAAGTATTTTATTAAAAATCAAGCAATGATAAAAATTGTTTTGGAGTGTATTATTGTTCCCTTTATCTTTGTAGACAAATTTCAACAAAAGCTACCTGTCCACCCCTTGATTTGTCCATCCATTTCATATGGGAGAAAAAAATTCAAGACAAAAGTCATTGCAGTACTGACAGTTTGGTTTTGATCATTCATACATGGTATCATGATGCAGATATAGGATGATAGGGTCAAATTAAATTCATCAAATGTCCTGTTCAACTTAACAAAATAATTTGGTTTTATCAACCAAGTTGTTCACATTGATTGGCCATCATAAAGGCCTTCTAAAGCAGATGCTTAGTGAGTTAGGCCTCCTTCAGAGTGATTGTTTTACTTATATTTTCCTTTGTCTCTGATTTAACACAATGATATTAGTCATAGACAACTAAAAGTCAACCTTTACATGCAACCATAAACAAGCTTATCCTCAATACCTTTCCCACCTCACAAGGAGAAGTTGTGAAATAATCAAAAGCTTCCCAACATGGGTATCATTTCTTTTTCTCAAGACCTTGGTGTTTAATTAAATGGTGATATTATCAGAAGACATTAAAAGATAAGTCACTGAGGCATTAAGAAGTCAAAACAAGACTCTGAAACACAGCAAATGTTTCAATTTAGTTCTTACTGATTTCATCCATCTTCTGGATTGCTATGGGAGAACTAAACAACATTATATTTCCCCAAGGAACTTTGCATGGGTCGATCATTTTTTTTAAAAATTTTTCTCTTCTAATTTCTGAAACAACATTTGTACTGAGCAGACAGTTTAACAAAAGGATTCCATGTTGCCATACACCTGGTCAGTAATAGATCACAGATGATGTAAAATTGTGGTAAGACAAAACAGTGGCACACAAGGCACAGCTGAGTGTATCATTGATGTTCTTACCACATTTTGAAGTTTTCTGTGATCTATCACTGAACAGACCCATGGCAACTTGGAATATAAATGTTTAGCATGTTAAAAACAAAACAAAAAAATTGACAATAGTGACATTATCTACATGTCTGTCCTCTAGATTGAAGATAATAAGGAAGAAGCAATCAAAATGCCTGAGTGTGTAATTCAGCTTATTACAGGAACAAATGAATACTAATACAACACAAGACAATCAATGATCAAAGAGAACCAGTAGAATTTATTGCAAAACTATTATCTTTTGCCATGTATTCTTACATTTTCTTCAATATACATTAGGAAGCGGGGAACAAGATATTTGAAAGTTATATACACAACAAGAAGAACAAGAACACCAAGTCTCCATGTATGCCAGGGAATTCCCAATAAGAGCTCTTCAAGCACTGATAGAAAATAAACATGACAGTCAATTTATTAATATAAATTTACACCAGTCTTGCACAACACAGTAAACAAAAAAGACAGTGAATCTGTTTGGACATCTTTAATGAGGGAAGAAGGAACCCCTGGTGGCTTAACTAAAACCCCCAGGTGAGAAGGAGGATAAAGAAACAACTGGAACAATCAAATAATTTCTTGGGTTCCTTTTGTGACAATTTGCCACAAACATACTGAATAAAAAATCACAAGAAAGTTAAGAAAAGAGATCTCCAAGAATTCATAAGTTCCTGGCAAAGTAATTTAACTACAAATAAAAGCAACAAAATGTTAAACTCTGCTAATCAAGGATCCCTCTTCATCGCTAATAGCAGGAAGAGGTAATTACCTTTTAACGCAATTTTTCAGTAATACTGTGATTAGTGAATGATGAAAAATTAGAATGTCTGCTTGCCTATATTGTAAACTACAGGTTCAGCTAAACTTGCAGGATTGTAAGGAATTCCAGTTCTGACTGCTGTGACATTTGCATATTGTTCCTGAAAGTTCAGTAAAAATTATCTTTTGTTAAAATCTATGTAGGCTGCCCAACATGAAGAACAAACACATCAAAGCCCTCAAGTTCCTCTTGATTTTCATAGCTACAATAAATGACTAAAAATGTTCCTACTCCCGCACCCCACCACCCTAGAAGGGTTTCTGGTCCATGACAAGGTTATCCCACCCCAAGCATTTGGTAAGGTTTCTTTGACAGTTAACCAGCACCCAGTTGAACTCTTGAGTGGAGAGAGGCACTGTGTGATACAATGTCTTGCTCAAGGACAGGACACAATTGGTGATACCAACTTAGATCACAAGACAACCTTTCAATGAGGAGTCCAGCCCATAACCACATGACTACCAAATCTCCGGAAAAAATTTCAATGCTCTGGTGTACATAATTCAACATTATCAAAGAAAAATTATGTGTTTTTTCAATATAACTTTAGACAATAAAAATTACTTGCAATACACATCTTTTAGAAGAGTGTTCAGAATAAATGACACGGCACAAGCACAGAAGTTTGTGAAAGATAGAATATCCCAATATACATACCCTCTACTTCAGCTAGATTTGGAACTTAAGGAAGATATATTCACATCTATGCACAAAAAAATTACAAACTTTTTAATATAAGTAAAACTGATACCTTTAACTCGTTACTGAAAACCAGTTTTTCAATATTAAGGAGTTTCCTTGTTTTACTAGCCTGTAGAGCTTTGCGAGGAATCAGCTGAATATAAAAATCTGTTGGGGTCTGACAAGAAAAATAACATTGCATATGCTATGAAATATTTTGAGAAATTCTGCTTGGAGGACAAATATTTCAATTTCAGCTGGGCTAACTTACTCAGCATCTGACTACTAAAAAATGTTGGAATTTGTGCAGAAGCACACTTTTGTTGGGAGGGGAGGGGTGAATTCAAGATGAATTAACAAAGTAGCTGTGGTGAGAAGTTTGTGTAGCTGCTGTTGATACACTGTAAATTGTAAGGTGGTAAATGTAAGTCCAGTTTTCACTCTTTAATGAAACTCCCCTTCAAGGAAAGTTCCTCAAAAGGCCAACAAGGAATTAAAAAAGATAGGGAGGGAGACAGTATATGTCAAGTGTGAAAAATATAAAAGAAATGTGAATAAAAGACAGTTTAAGGTTTGGATTACCATTTCTTTTTAGATTTTAGCCATCAAAAATAGAAAATACTGATTCAGCCTATGAATTAGACACCATTACTACTGAAGATTAACCTGGTTTCAGTGATATTAAGATTAGGAGTATTACTAGAATTTCCACAATCCCCCCCTAAATGGAATGCTGGTCCATTGCAGTGTTAAGCCCCCCCTCACATTTCAATTTGTTACCCTTACGGATTTGTGATACTTCTTTATACCCATGGTTAATGAGAGGTAATGTGGTCACTAAATGTCTTGCTCACAAACATAATACTTTGACTCATCTGTGGCTTGAAGCTGGATCTTGTGATTAGAAGTTTGACACTCACCACAAGTTCACCGTGAATCTCACATAAAACAAAATTCAAAGTATAGTACCGTAGAAGGGTATGACACTCGCAACTCGTAACTTTTGCTTGGTTTCAGTTGGACTAAGTGGTACAAGACTGTCTCTCTGTGATGCAGAACCTGAATAATAGAACACAGTCACAGAAAAAAATCACAGAGGAGAAAGGATCAATTCATTATCTCAAAAGTTTTGGGAATTTCTGCAAGAATGTAATTTAGCAATTTGAACTAGCCGCAGTACAAGAAGATTCATTGTTCAGCTTGGAAGTTATATGGACAGCACACTTGTAATTGATTAGGCACAGAAAGGAATGGATTTGGTAATAGATAAATTTTTCCTGTGTTTTAAAATATCTTTGTATTCTCATTAAGATAGCACAAATTTCCTCAAAGACTGGGGGGTTTGAGAGGTTTTCTAGCTGTAGGTCCAAGTAGTTCTTTTTAAAAGTGCATCAGGTCTTCTCCAACGTTTTGCATTACAAATCATCAGATGGAGGAGGTGAGGCGGTATGGTAATCTTAGGTAACATAACTTTTCATGAAATTATATTAAAATTATCATTATCATTGGCATCGTCATTATCATTATTATCATTACAATTACTATTATTACTACCATTATCACTAATATCATAATATAAGTTTTAGTTATAGTAATAATTTTAGATTCCAGTAATTTTAGATTATGTATTTTACTCGGTAGATGACAATAAAAATAAAATTTTCTATTATTATCATCTCTATTGTTATTATCATTATCGTTATCATTCTTGTTATTTTATTATTATTATTATTATTGTTATAAATATAGTAATATTCCCTAAAACGTACCTGATTCAATAGCAGCTTTTCTGGCTCCAGCCTGTGAAAAAAGCGTGTACACAAAAAGTGACTACAAATAAATATGAAAAAATCAAAATCATCATTTTACCTTGTTTGTGCAAGTATTCGGATAACAGAGCAGTAGAGAATAAAACTATGACAAAAAACAACCAACGAAATTTCGCGAGTCATGTTTAAAAACTTAGCCTCATTATTTAAGTTGAACTGCTGACTAGCAAGACTGTTTGTTCATCTGATGCGGCTTTCCGCACTCCGATTGCGTTACATTGTGGTAGCGCCATTTTCAATATGGCGGTGAAAGCAGCAGAAATCGGCAGATTTTGACTGA